CCAATACCATGGACGGTACTCCGTGGTTACTTACTAGCAAGAGAAAATCTCCCTGCTTGAGGATTATTGCCTTTATTACAAAATCTAAACTTTTCAAATCCTTTATAAATTGGTTTATTTCCCTTTTTACACCACTTCTAAAGACCCCTTTAACTAGTTTTCTCACAGTCTCTTTCTCATTAAATAATTCTCTATGCTCACAGAAGGTTCAGAATGTTCAAGGAGAAATAACAAAGCTACATAAGTAAATTTTCTTATCCCTTTTTTGTATAAAATTAAGTATATTAGCATATTTGTGTTCAAAAATAGTTTAACAAATAGTCGGGGTTTTCTATAGAATGAAGTAATTTAGACAACTATTATGAGTTAATAATACTTTATATAATATTATGAACTTTCGCTTCCTTAAATAAGCCCTATAAAAGCTTTAGTATTATATAAAATTGATTTTTTCATGATTATGATATCTTAAAACATTTTTTTTCCCGCTCGTCATTGGTATTTTGGTCAAGTATTAAGGGTATAAAGGGACAAAGAAAAAGCTTCTCTTTAAGCTCTAGACGAAAGTACTTGGAAGCGTTGGGGACCTACTTTAAGGGCTTAGCTTTTAAAATATCCTCAATATAATAGTCACATAAAGAATTCCACTCACTTAACAAATAAACAACACCGCAAGTACAACCAATAGGGCCTCGACTACTTATTTTATTATTGTGACTAAACAATGGCATACTATAAGCTGGTCTAGAAAAACTTACTTTTTACTGAGGGATGCTTTCGGCACGAGCTCTATACACCTTGTTTTTAACTATTTATGTTTAAAATATAATAGGATAGTTTATTTTTATATTAAGGTTACCCTCTAATCGATGTTACTTATGCAGTGGTCCTTAATTTATAGAAGGCATTTTTGTACTTATCTGATATAACTCTTTGTAACAATTTATTGGCATTTTCCAATAATAGAGCTGGTAGTATCTATACCATTAGAATATACTGATGACAACCATGCGCGTCTGTAAAAGCCTTTAAAAAAGCTATTTTAGCCTTTTTGCGTATGCCATAATTTTTTGCTTTAGTGGTATTAATAATAAAAGTAAGCAGTTCGTTTCATAATTTATAGAAATAGGAGTATACCAAAGCGGTTAAAAAAATCTAAAAAAATTGTTAGGTTTTTTAGGTCACATATTATCGTCTAATATTAACCTTAAAGATTTGGGCAAATATTATAAATGTGCCACTAAGTTATAAAATTTTCAGCAGTTAAAGTTAACGTCTGTTAAAAATAAACAATACAACAGTTTTACAGGCGTTAATAGTTACAAAAACAAAACGTGTTATTCTCCAAAAATGTGATAAGCCTGCAGATGAGCTGCAATGCCTTACAGATGTAGTAATGCGCAGTGTCATAAGTTTATTGAACTAAAGAGAGTATTAGACGGTGCTATGAATTATAAGAACAGTAATGGTAAGTAGAACTTCCAAAAGCTATATCGCCTATAATTATCTCTAAGTTTATTTTACTTTTTGCGCAAAATGTGCTATCAAAATTATGTTTACGACTTGAACTAAGGTGGATTTTTAAGCTTATGAGCTTACTAAGTGGCCTCTATGCTAAACCCCTGTCTAAAACATTCTAAAGCCAGAAGTATTATTGTGTTTTTATTTTCAATAAAGCCTTTCATTACATTTCCGATAGGCTTATTCGTTGTTGTGTAGTGGAGATTCTTAAACTAAAATTATTTTGGAAAATTTTCTAAAAGTCCATTTCCCACTAAAATCTTGCTGGTAAAAATAGCTTTTATCTTTTTTCCGCTGAACTAAGGAATTTGGGCGCTTACTCAGTATTTCTCAGTTTTCGCCGACTTTATGACTACTGTTTTAATATAGTTACTATATATAGCTTTTAATAGACTAACTTTTATGTATACTTTCTTGTGACTAAATATTATTTAATTCATGCCCACTTTTTTCGTGGTTTCTATAACATACATTTTTTGAAAATACTATCGTCGAGTTTTTTTATATTATACATCAATTTTTTTTAACCACGTGCTACTAGCGGATCATTTTCTACGCCAGTGGCGGTTTGTAATTATCAGCGAACTAATGACGGCTTAGCGAGAGAATTTATAGAAACCCAGCTAAGTGCAGTGGCGAAACATATAAAATAAATATAAAAAATTATAAAAAAAAACTGAAAAACTAAAAAAAAAAGTAAGAAAACAATTATTATAACAAAAAAGGCTGGATTTGCTTTATTACTAATAGCATTGATATTTTTATCCTTTATTATAGCCTTGGTATATATATATTTTATAATCGAAGTATGAAATCCCTTTCTTTTTCTTTTAATATCAATTTTAGTGCTTTTTTCAAAAAAACTTTATTTAATGTAATATAGTATTTAAATTTTTAATAAAGGGCGTAACATGGACGTGGATTTTTTTTATTCTCTCTCCTTTCTATTTATTACCCTTTGTGTACTTACTGCTACTTATTATGAGTAATAGTAAACACGAACTTTTTAAGAAATCTATATCTAAATTTTTTAGTATTGAACAGACATAAAAATTTCATTGAGTGTTTTGCTCTAGTAATTAACACATTAAAACTAAGGAAGTCTAAACTTTTCATTTTTAATTAAATATACTTTACTCAGGCACTTCATGCAATATATTTACTTATTGTTTTTATAACTAAGGAAAGATCTACATACTGTTTGTTTTAAGATTATTTTATTTACTTAAGTGACTAGTATTATTAAAGTTGGCTATCGAACAACGTCGCTTCTAATTTTTTTCTTCTCTAATGAAAATGTGAGATTACAAATAATACAAAAACAACTTTTAATAAAGCTTTCAATTTTGAAAATAACTTCAGCCTTTTTGTTTCAGGTTGCACCGCTAAACGTTGCGAATTTCATAGCTGATAGATTCATGTCCTATTTTTTAGCCTTTAATAAATTTATTATTTATCGAGAATTATTAAATTTGAAAGGTCCAGCGGAATTTATTTAGCTTAAAACTAAAGTTACTTAAAAACCAATTTTTTTTCTAAACGTGGGTTACACGGAATAAACATATACAAAAGAACGAAATATGCTTAGTGCTTTCCGTGCCGGGGTTATTTGGCGATTTTTTAAAAAGACTACAAATTTATTTTTATCTAGGTTTATTAAGCTAATACCAGTTAAAAACTTTAAAATATATGATTTATCGTCATTCAGTACAAACCAAATATATTTATTATACTAAAAGTTTCGGTGAAAGAAATCTTTATAACAGCCAAATAAATTGACTTCTATTACTATATTTTTTATTTTCCGATTTATCATAAATTATTTAAATTAATTTAAAAGTTTGTTATTTTAGAAGAGTGTTCTCTAAACGCTAACCCATTAATTTTTCCATATAAAATAAACGCAAACAAGAAAGTCAAATATATGCTCTGCAATGCTCAAGATGTTGTAGCAAGATATACTTTGTAAAGTAATTTTTAAGTACAAATAGATTTATTTCTATAATTATATTTTAAAAGTATTTGAGGAGGGTGTAAATAAAAAAAAAAAGGTTCGTTTGACTATAGTATTTTGGAAATCTAATATAAAGCTTGACTTAAAGGATTGAAAAAGGTTAAGATTATTATTTTTCTTAGGCATAGGTAAAAAAAGTGGAAGGCCTTAACTTTTAAATTTTTGTACAATCTTTTAATTTATTATCTCCATTTAATAAAAGGCTCTATTTACTAATTTTAAAAGAGTTAATAAAGCAATAAACCTTAAAAAACTATGCACTAATGCTGAATGCTTGTACCTATATTTACAAGAGTAAGCAATTATTAGTTCTTAAAAAAAAACAAAGTATATGATAAAAAAAAGCTGGCATCCTCGGAAGTTTTTAAGTTCATTTAGAAAGAAGGTTAACTGTAATTACGCTTGGTAATATAAAATAATCTTAGTTCTCTCGGCTTTACGTAAAATGATAATAAGACAACGATTCAAATCCCTGTTAAAGTTAAAATTTTAAAATTATACTTACAAACTTTTCATTTAAAAATTGAGAAAGCAGACAAAATTTGTTCTCAATATAAATTTTTTCTTTTACGCTCTTATAAAATATACACTTTTCACTTTTCTTAAGCTTAATGAGTTAAAATATTGTGCTTCTTTTTGTGCTTTATTATTTTATAATATTTGACAGTAATTTGTTAAATGTTCGTTATAATTTACAAATTGCTAACAGGTTCCAAAAAACTATTAAAACCCAAGGGCTATCAAATTAACTCTACTCATAGAACTTTTAAAGAAAAGCAAAAAAAGTTGATATCCAAATTTTTTTTAGCTTTTTTACCTAAAAACTTTTTTTTCTTGTAAAATTCTCAAGCAATTTCATAATTTTTGTAAATTTAGCTCAATAATTTAATTTCTTAGTAATTCAATTATGCATACTTCTCCGTTCTTATGATTACTTTTAGTAATGTTTAATATTTTCTTGGATTTTCAAAGTGGTGCTAACAATATACGTAATTAAAAGTGTTCAAAGAATATAATATCATCGACAAATTAAGAAGACAGCCAGGCAATTTAGTTTCTTAGTATTTAAGTGTATCGTTGCGTTCATTTTTTCATATATTAATAAATTTTAGTAGTTTTTTCTGAATTTCAAAGCGGCATTGCCTAATAAAATATCAACTCATTAACAAATTTAAGCAAGTTGATTTCTTAGCAATTTAAGTGTATCTTGTTGCATTCAATATTATAAATATTTATTATGACACCTTTTCTGATTTTTAAAGCTGCACTAAGTTAAAAAAATAAAATATCATCCACATTAACGAATAATTTGCAGATTTTTTTATTGGATTTTTAAAGCTGCGCAAAGAAAGTGAATGAATAAAAAAAATAAAAAAAAAATAAAAAGTAAGTATACATTTAACATGACAAAAGCGGTGGACTACATCTTAAAAGTTTTTAAAAAATTGAGGCTAGTAAAGTGAAGTACAAGACGAGCATAGTGAACATTTTTTTTTACCTCTTAACCTCTCCTGCTGCTTTTATAAATGAATCAAGGTAAACTTTTATGTGTAAAAATAAATTTTAAACTAGGATTAAGGTTTTTTACGAAACAGAAATTTGGTAATATTTTTTTAATAATTAACAGAACCAAAAGATGATGTCCTCGGTAATCTTTTCCGTTCTATTTCTTTGGTATGCTAATTTTAAAAATATTAACGTTTTTCATTTCTAAATATTTCAAGTTTAACTTGTTAAAGTCAATATTTCTTTCTATAATATTTTATTACTAAATTCTATATTCTTAATTAAAATATCGTAATAATGTCTTCTTTCACAATAAAAATAAAAATTTTTTAAAACTAAATATTGTTTTTGTTCAATTCTTCTAAAAATTTTGAAACCTTTTATTAGCTTTTAAAGTATTAAAAAATTTATTATTAAACTTAAAGGCTCACTCGCATTTAGCTCTCCAGAAAGAAGAATTAGTAGCTCAGAATAGTTTTGTTAAAAATTCTTTTAACAAGGTTTTTAATTTTTTTTGGTTTTGTATAATAAATTTATTCAGTTTAGAAATTTTTTTAAAAATTAATTTTTATATACTTTTTTTTTCTATTAAAGTTGTCTGAAATGTTTAATGAACTCGATGAAATTCTTAAAAAGCAGAACCAAGCGATTAAATTTTTCGTATGTTTTTTTGTTTTTAGAAAATTCGTTAAAGAAAAAATTTATTAATTAAGCTCAGCAACTTCTTTATATTTTCTTAAAATTAAAATTTTCTTATTAAGTAAAAATATTTCTTTTTTTTTTTGCTAATACTTTTGTGTTAATTAAAATAATTACCTAAACTTATCAATTTATAAATTATTATAATTTACTTTGTTAAGTATAATTTTAAAGGATTTATAAAATAATATTCTGTTTTTATTAAAACTATTAAATTCATCTTTATAATAATTTCTAAGATATATTTTTATCGTAATTTATAGTTGACACTTTTTCTCTAAATTGTTATAATTAAATTTACTTTAAAATTAATTTAATTCAATTTACAATTAAAAGTTAAAATTCAGTTTAATATAAATAAAAAATATCAGAGTTTAAATTTTTTTTTATAAGTTTAGAAAAATTTTGTTTTTTTATACTAAAATTATTAAAATAATAACTAATTTTACTTAAAATTTAATTCTTTATATTACTAACAATAATATTATTTTTATTATGAAATTTCAATTTCTTACACTTTCATTATATTATTTATTACTAACAATAATATTTCTTTACAATTTATAAATTATTATTAAATTTTATTATGAAATTTCAATTTCTTACATTTTCATTATATTATTTATTACTATAAGCAAGTCACATATAATTTTTATTAAACAATAATAATATATTTAATATTTTATATATATTTTTTTATGCATTACTATTATTTTATATTCTTTTCATAAAAGTTTCATATACTCTTTCCTAAAAAGTTTTTAATAAAATAAATTTAAAAACTATTTTAGATTTGTTATCAAATTAGAATTTTTCTTATTTATAAAAAAATATTATCATTATTTATTATTATTATTTATTTATGTTTTATTATTATTATTCAATATTTATTTTTTTAAAGAAAATATTATTTATTATTATTTATATTTATTTTTAATTATTATTTAATATTTTTTATTTTTAAAAATAATTGTATTATTATTATCTATTAATATTTTTATTGTTTATTTATTGATAACATTAATATTTTCCTTAATACTATTATTATTATTATTATTTATTTTCTGTTATTATTTTTATTATTATTGTTTATTTATTAATAATATTAATATTTCGAAAAATTATTATTAATTATTATAATTATTCTTATTTACTACTATTACTTATTAATATGTTTATTTCTTACTATTATTATTTATTCATAATAAATATAATTTATTTTTCTGCATTATTATTATTATTTTTATTTTACTTTTAATTGTATTTTTTTCTAAACAACGTTATATTTATTATTATTATTAATGATATTTATTTATATTTTACTTTTTATATTTATCTTAAATATTTATTATAAAAATTTTATTTATAAGTATTTATTTTATTACAACAATTTTATATATTATTATTATAATTATTTTATTAATAATTAAATTTTTTTTAAACTTATTGACAATAATTTATTTAAATTTATTTTAATTTTTACTTTTTATTTATATTTTTTTTATAAGTTTATTATAATTATTTTTACTATAATGATTTTCTATATTATTATTATAAATATTATTTTTCTTTTTACTTTTTATATTTATTTCTTAAAAAAGTTTTATTTATATTTATTTTATGTTTTACTTTTATTTTATTTTTTAAAAAGTTTATGATTATTTTATTATAAGAATTTTATTTATTATTATTAATATTTATATTATTTCTTACTAATGGATAATATTTTTTTTTAAAAGTAAAGTATAATAATTTTATTTATTATTATTATTTTTTTAAAAATACTTTATTTATATTTATTTTACTTTTTTCTTTTTAATATTTATTTTTGTATATAAATTTTATAATTATTTTATTATAGGAATGTTATTTATATTTATTTTATTTTTACTTTTTACTATTTTTTTTTTTAAATTTATTATAATTATTATTTATTTTACTTTTTACTTTTTATAGTTATACTTTTATAAATATTTTATTAATATTAATTTCATTTTTTACTTTTTATATTAATTTTTTAAAAAAAAATTTTTATTTCTATTTATTTTATATATTACTTTTTATTTTTTTCTTTAATGGAGATATTATTATTATTTTATTATTTGTTTATATCAATTTTACTTATTTTTATAATTTTATATATAATATTTTTATTATTAAAAATAATTTTCTCAAGTTAATCATCATTAACGCCATTATAAAACTTTCTTATATTTTTGTTAAAACTTTTTTTATTAATTAATAAATTTATTATTTTTTATTAATATTTTATCTATTATTATTTTTAGTACTTTTTAAGAAAATTATATATAAAATTATTTTTTTTTACTTATTTATTATAATTACTTAATAGTACTTAATAGGAAACTATTATAAAACTGTAATAGTAAAACTTTATTAAATAATAGTAGTAAGCAAATGAAGGATTTTATAGTATTTAAAAACGTAATTTTTAAAAATGCACGCATGTGTTTTAAAAAATGCCCTGTAATCTGATTGGTTTATGTTTAAAATACAAGTTGAACTTTTTTTGCACGAAATTTAATGAACTGAAAGAAAGCATTTTTAGTTTTACAATAAACAAAGAAGCTTGTAATTGGGTTGCTAGAAAATAAAAACACAAATTTTTTAATAAATATAAGAATAATATAAAAAAATCATTAGAAGGTGAAAAACGTGAAAATTGCACTTGTTTATAAATTCACTAAAATTGTGAATTACTTTTAATAGAATTTGATAACTAATAAATATTATTTAAATAAGCCAATAAAAGTTATGAAGTATTTTTTAATTAACAAAAAAATAACCAATAAAGCAAGTCTTATCAATTTATTAAAATTCTATTTACATTTTGAAAAATTAAAAAAGGTAACCAATCAAGCAGGTGCTTAGCAATTCACTAAAAATTTTGAATTATATTTTAAAAAAATTATAAAAGTGGTAACCACTAAAACATTATAAATATAATTTATTTAATTGCTGAATTATTTTGTAATAAATATTAAAAAATGGCAACCAATAAAACATGACCTAAAAATACAAAAAATACTGAATTACTTTTTTAATAAAAGTAAACAAAATGCAACCAATAAAACACCATCTTAATAATTCAATAATATTACTGAATTACTTTTTAAAAATAAATAAATGGCAACCAGTAAAACAAAAACTACGAGTGCATAATGACAAACTTCTTTTCTTTTCTTTTTTTTCAGGAATTGTCAATATTTTTATGAATAAATGCATTTTTAGATTATTTTTGTATATTTAAAACCTGAGAAATACCAAATCTAATCATCTAAAAAGCCACGTGCACTTTCAGAGTGTTGAACTTTGATTGGTCTATTATTTCATTAATATCTAATTTGATTGGTTACCTTATAATCTTTTTTTTTAACAAAGTTTTTCTGTTATTAAAAAAATTTACAATTTTGTGGCTAAAAAGAACTTTTATTATTAGATTATTTATTCATTTTTTATTTAACGTTTTATTATTAATTTTGCTTTTCTTAAAAATTATTTGCTTGCTGATATTATTGGAAATCTTCTTGGCCTTTATTTTTCTATATTTTATTCCCCTCAGTTCACTTATTTTTGTATATTTATTTTTATTCAATAAAATTCTCGTATTATTTAAGTCGGGCAATGAGAATAAAGGAAGGATGACTCGGTTTGATCACCCTTCGAATCATAACGACCAATCAAATGAAGTTGATTTAACAACTGACGAATCAATTATTAATACTATCGAGCCATTATTAAAAGAACACGACGAACGAATTGAGGAGCTGTGCAGTTCTGTAGAACTTTTAAAACTTCACTTACAAAACTCATAACTATCTAGCATCCCTTTTCCTTCCATTTCTTTTTTATAAAGTATATACAATAAAGCTTTATTGCTTATATTATTTTATATATTTACTTTATAGGCATTTTTATCAATTAAGAGTTTATATTAAACAACAATGTACTAATTAATGAAATTTTTAGTTCGACTATTTTTGCTAAAATAAATTTTATCTTTTTCTTTTATTAAGATATTACGGAGTTATATTTTCTACATTTGTTAACAAAAGTTTTTTTTAAAAAAAATTTATTAACCTGAATTAACCTAGTAGCTCTGGTGTAGTGCTTAACTAGTTAGTAATACTTATAGATGATCAAGTTCAATATAGTTGGTAGTAAACTTTACTTATGAATAATGATATTTTCTGGTCTCGATCGGGGTATGATAGCATACATGTAAGATATAAGTTGAAGTGGAGAGAGCTCTTATATATATATATATTTGTTAACCCTTATAATGAGTACAATTTAAATTTAAAGTGGATTACGTGAAGGGGGAAGGCGTGCGCCGTATTAAATTCGTAACTGAACTTTTCTTTCGGTAATTAAGTGATGTGTTTAATAGGCCGTTAGTTAGTGGGTAATATTAGCATCACATTAAAATACGTTGGCTCAGGGTACAAGCTGGAAGATCCTAATGTAAAGCGTTTCGCACAAATTACAGCACTTGTTTTGTCTCACTTGAAGCGAGATCGCTATAACCATAAGCCCAGGAAGCAAGCGGGAGTATCGCAACTGGCCGGCCACTCAACACATACATGCTCCGTTACAAGAAACAAGTAACAACAAAACACTATACACTACGCTAAATATTTATAACTGAAATTATATTACAACAATTAGTCTACAAGACCGCAATAAATATACATCAAAAGACAGAAAATAAAATCTCTTCTAAATCTATCTACTAAAAGACATTAAAAAAAAAAGTAACAGGCACAAGTAGACGCAAGCAAAGGACAGCCACGAAACCCAAAAATTATCCAGAAAGAAAAACTAAAGACAAACCTCAATAAAAATTTTTACAGGAAAAATGCGCCGTGAATAAACCAATCAGTACCAGAAATTTAATTAACAATTGTACATAAAATTTTTTTTCAACCTGTGCATGCACGACCCTCGTAGCTAAAGTATATTGCGAGGGTAGTTCCGGAAGAACCTCGAAAAGAGCATAAATTTCCTTCGTAGCACAATGAGAGGTATTCGTTTTGGCATTAAAGCCGAGGGGAGTTTTTCGGAAACGTAGCAAAGAAGATTATACCTATTAATATACCTCGTTCCTTATAACGGGCGCTAAATATGAAGAAATACTACGCGAGAGGCTCCAAGATAACTAACAAAACATAAAAATGATACTTGACCTCTATATTGTTTTATACAATTAAGCAAAGGAAAAAATTATAAATGTAAATTTGGTTACTTTTGTAAAGGTATAAATACATTGAGAAAACTAAGCAATAAAGAGTGTTTTTGTTTTTCAAAACTTTATTCTTTTTTTTTTGACTTTGTTTTGTTGTTACATCACTTGTTGCTCCACGAGGGTATGCTTTTGGCACAGGTAAGGAAAAAGAGCTTGAACAGCCGTCTTGAACCTTTGCCGCTACGTCATTGATGAACCCTCAAATATTCGGCGAGCGACAGCGGTGTTCAGTGCGTCTCTTTATGATAAAAAGAGCGATACCTTCCCCTCCTCAATAGTAATTTTACTAATGGCGCAACAGTTGGAGAGGTTGACTAGGTAGCGCTGCAGATGCTAGCGAAATAAAGCCTGCGACTTTGACGGGGAGTAAATAGCTAAATCAGCTGCATATCAGGCGTGGCGCGTATGAGGGTGGTCGAACTGTGATATTTTAGCTCATAAAGGGCAAAAAGCAAAGCTAATGTAGACCGTTGTAGCCTAAATGATGTTGTAATAAGAAAGTAAAGTTTACTCCAACAAAAATCAAAATAAACACACAGACTCCTATACATTCGTTATAGTTTATTCCAAATACAATAGGGAAACGTGCGAAAAATGCTGCAAAGATAGCAAAGACTGCACCTAATGACAGAACATAATGAAAGTGAGCTACTACAAAATAGCTATCATGTAAAAGTACAGCTAAAGAACCGTTTGCTAATATAACTCCGGCTCCGTCGTGTCCTAGTGTAAACACTAGTAGACGCTTTGTGTAGAATTATTTTTCTCTACTATAGCAAGGGTACTGGTACGCTTTGTGTAGAACTATTTTTCTCTACTATAGCAAGGGTACTGGTTTATCTATTGTCAATTATGCTTGGTTCGGGTACTTTTTTGGCTCGAGTCTAGTATTTATTGGCTCTAGCTTACTTGACTTGCCTTAGCGTCTGTGACATTTCAGTCTATAGTACTAGTACTGTTTTCTAGTATCTCCCTTGGCTGTTTGTCTTGTCTAGGAACTAGCACTGATATTCGGTGTTGGCTTCTAGATACTAGTGTACTTACTATGCTAGGGTAGATACTAGGTACTAGTACTATATATATAAGCGCACGCGCCCATCCCTGAGACACCCGCTGTTAGTAGTTTTTAAAAGTAAAGGTACACTTCCCACGTGCGTCAAAGGATGGGGCCCTCAAGGTCGTATCTGAGCACGTTGTAAACAGGAGGGAGGGCTACAGCACGAACTTTGTCAAAAAAGCCCTTTTGCCACTTGTTCAAGCGCTTTTTCGACAGTGGGAATTTTTGAAATTATGGACACGCGCCTATTTTGTCAGGCGTAGAAGCTGTCCCAACGTTGAAGGTTCTCACTGAAATCCTCGGGCAGGGTATAATCTCATCAAACGTTTCTAGGTGGCGCAGGAGGGTAGTTGCCAGCTACTTTGCTAATTGCTAACTAGAGGCTGCTAGCTGGTAATCGTTAAACGTACAGTCCAGCAGCAAGTGTCTTCAAATTCGTTATTATAGTAGTCTCTGTCCTTTTTATTAAGATTAACTGCAACTCCCAAACATGACCCCCACAGTTGGATGCGATTAATCCGTTATGGGAGTACTCAAGTTTGACATTCCCCGTGGCAGTGGACGAGGCAGCATAAACAATTTATCTTTATCATCGGCATTTGCTTCAACAACCTACTTAAGAACTCCTCAGTCTTTGTATTTTACTTTATGTGTTAAACAATATATAGACCAAAAAAATGAAATTTTAGAAACTAATTCAAGGTAGTTGACTACGACAGCCTGGATGTGGAACAGTATCTAGAAGATTCTCCTGTTATCCAATTAAATAAGTTTTTTAACGAATGTGATTAATTTCTACCTCTACCTTCCTCCGTTGGTTATCTACACTGATGTCTTTCCTTGTAAATGACTCGTTCTTGGGTTAAAGGCCTCGATCAATAATCATAAAGGATTACAGCTTATCCAGATAGACAGTCGCCGCTCTATTCTAAAGGAAGGAGTTGAATACCTAACTTAGTTACCCTTTCTTTGGTTTTCGGTGAACAGGAAATATGAAATAACCCAGAACCTTCCTTTAGAATGCTCTGGGTTGAGGATTGCACGTTGCTTAGAGTTGCGTTACGCACGGCTGGAAACAGTTGCTCTTAAAAATAGTAATAAATACGAGCTGGATAGAGTCTTGCAGTAGTTTCTATCTTCCCTGGCTCGGTAGAATTTCGGTAATCCCCCTTTGGGCTTTAAACTACTATCGACCTCAGCGAGGAAGTCCGGCTTCGAAGAAGCTCCCACGCTCAGCATCTTTGTGTTCAGAAAAAGAATGTTGCTTTTTTATAGTTGTCTTCCTCCCCAAAGCTGCAATCTTATAGAAGATATAGTGGCAAATATTCTCGGTATTTATATTATAATAAACTGAAAAAAAACTGCGGCTTTCGCTAGCCTTCGCAATGTTATTAATCGTTATTAGTGAGGGCTATTTAGCACGTGCTTTCACCAATCGCTATTAAAACTCTAAGGAACTAGAAAAAAAGAATGGCTTTGTAAATTCTTTATATACTTCGCTTCTAAGGGGAACATAAGTAAAGTTTTGGGAAAACTTTGTAAAGAGATCTCTTTTTTTTTTTTGTAACTAGCTTATATAAAACTTTAAAAAATTAAAGTAAAAATTTTTTTTAAGAAAACTATAATAGACTCACTTTTAAAAAACTTTAAAAGAGCCAAGAAAAAAGTTCTATAAAATTTTTTTCTCTTTATTATTGTAAAGATTCCTTTTTTAAAATGGACAGAGTTACTCAGCTTCAAGACCGCGTTGATTTAGTTAGTATACTTCTTATTTTTAATTAATTTTTTTTTATATACTTTTTTTCTTTTTCTTTTTTTATAAAGTTAGCTTGGTACTTTTGCGATACACTCCGTATGATTCCCCAAAGTTTCAATCCAGCCGAACTTGAAGGGATAAAAGGTACTTTTTTTAGTAAAAAACTTCAATTTTTTCTAAGTTTAAAAAGCATTTCTACTATATTATTCACTGCAGATCCAGTTTCAAAGCCTGATTTTGTAGATTATTCTCTTCGCTATCAATTTTTCTCCAAAAAAATTTGTCAGACAGTCAAAGAAATATTGGTTTTAGCTGATTCTCTTCCAAGTCCTGAGAGCACTGAAGCTATCCAGGTGTGAATTTATTTTTATAAATTTATGTATGAATTTTTATATTTTTCTGACCATGCCGTTAAAGTAATTTATTAAGTAGAAAAATATATATCTTTTTTCCAACCATTTACTTGTAATTTACTTAGAAAAATATATAAATTTCTATTTTAACTTATGAAAATTTTGAAGAATGTAATAAATAAATTTCTGTGTAGTATTATATTTTATTTATATAATTATATTTTTTTTGGTTATCTTTTAAAAAAGTTAAAAATTATTGTAATTTTTATTTTTTGACTTAACTATAATGTTAAATTCTCAGATAATATTATTATGGAATTTGAATTTTTTAACTTTTGTTTATTTTATTATTTATAATTTAAATCATTTTGTTATCTTTTCTACTTTTTTCTTTACTACGTAAATTTTTTATTTCATTTTCTTGTTAACTTTTGACTAATTTGTTTTTTTAATTTTAAGAAAACTATTCATTATTATTATTTTGCTTTTTATAAATATATATTAAATCAGAAATTATTTTTTGTTGATTTGATTTTTCTTTTTTTTTCTAAGTATATAATCCAAATAAAATTCTTTTTTGTTATTTTTCTACTTTTTCTTTTCTAATTAATTTTATAAATTCTTTTCAGTATTTTATTCTGTTTATCGTTTTAACGTTAGACTCTGATGCTACAATTTTAATAAAAATTAATTTTCAAAATTTTAATATTTTCTTTTTTTATTATTAATGTAATAAATTTATAAAAAATATAATTGAAATTTTAAATTTATAACTTTTTATATTTTTTAATTGGAATAATCTAAATTATTTTGTTATTGTTTAAATTTTTTATATCTTTATAACTTTCTTTAATATTTATTATTTAAATAATTTTATTATTTTATATATTATTTAAATTTAAAATAATTTTTTCAATTTTTATTAAAACTCTATTTAAAATAAATTTATTACTATATTTTTATGTAAAATTTATTACTTTTCTTATTATTTACTTTTATTATTTTTTTAATGTTTTTAACTTTTTTTGTTTTATATATTTTCTATAATAATTTATTTTCTAAAATTTTTTTAATCATTATTATTACTTTTCTTCTATATTATATTAATTTTTAAAAAATAATTTTTTAAAATTTCTAAATTTTTAAGTCTTTTTGTATTTTTTTATATATTTATTATATACTTTTATAAAATGTTTTTAATTTTTATTTTACTTATTTATAATATATTTTTTTTACAAAATTTTAAAATTGATATTATTATTTTGTTACTGTTTTATTTTTTAATTGTTTTCTAGTAATCAATTATTATTATAAATTTATTAAATGTTATTATTATATAAAAATCTTTTTTTATTTTGTAAAAATAATATATTTTATATAACTTTTTTAATTTATATTTTTCTTAAAAGTATTTTTTTTACATTTATTACATTTATTATTTTTTATTTATATTTTATTTTTTAATGATAATAAAAATTATTACTTTTTTTTATAATTTTCTTATATTATATTATTTTGTTTATAAATACTTTTTAGCAATATAAATAAAAATATTTTTATATTGTTATAACTTTTTCCCTTTATACTTCTAATTTCTTAATTATTATAATTTTTAATTAGTTAATTTTTTTAATAATTATAAAAATTAATAACTTTTTATATATTTATTTTGTCTCTTTTATAAGTTTCTTAATTCATATTTTTATTGTATTACTGTTTTATTTTATATTATTTTTTCATAAGAAAATATCATAATTTTCTGTAATATATTTAATTATTATTAAAGTTTTTATAATATTATTATAAAAATATATTTAATTTTTTTTTTTAATAATAAACTTTTTTATTTTTATTTATAAATTTATTAACTTTTACTATTTTTATTTATTTATTTTTATAATTATTAACTTTTTTTTAAAATATTTTTTTTAATTAGAACTTTTTTCTTATACTTAAAAATTTTTTAAATTATTATTAATATTTTCCTTTTTATTAATTGTAAAAATTATTAACTTTTTAATTTTTTATAAACTTTATAATTGTTTTATTTTTATTACTAATTTATTATGATTATTTTCTAATATATTATTATAATTTTATTTAATATTTTTATATTATAAAATTTATTATTTTTTAAGTTATTCTTAATTTTTACTAATTTTTATTATATTTTTATCATAATTTGATTTTTATAGATTTTTAGACCATTTCTTTTTTTATTATTTTTAATTGTTATTAAAAAATCTTAACTCTTTTTGTATTTTTTATATTTCTTCAATTTTTAAAAATTTTAACTTGTTTTGTTTTACTATTTTATTTTTTTTAAATATTTATATAAATTTTTTAAACGATTTTATTTTATTTTTTTTAATATTTTTAAAATTTTATTACTTTTTAATAAAATTTAATTTTTTTTTTATAAATTTTTTATTAGTATTTACTTTTTATTATTATTATATTTAGTAACTATTTATACGTTTTCCATAATAAAGTTTATGATTACTATTACTTTGTACCTTTAATATAAATATATATTATTATTTACTTTGAGCTAATTTTTTGAATAAAGAATTTTTCTTTGCAGGAGCTCGAAAAGGAGCAATTAGCATTAACACAAGAATATTACGCACAACTTGAAAAAACCCGTTAATTTTTATTATATAATAAAAAATATTTTTAAAAATTTTTAGAGGGAAGTTGTTTACCAATGACAGTTGATTTTTGATTGAACTACGAATAATACGCTTTTATTAAATACTAGTTATTACGAGTGGTCTATTTACAATTTTCTAATAAGCGCGTGGCCCATTTGTTAACATAAAAAAACTTTATTCAAAATTTTTAATGAATATATTTACCAATGACAGTTGATTTTTTGATGAACTCCGAATAATATGCTTTTATTAATTTATTGTTATTATCAATGGTCTTTTTTTAATTCCTAACCGTGAGTGGCCTGCGTAGGATATGAAAAACTGTTTTTTATTGTTTACTCTTCACTAACTTTGAAGCAAATATTTTGTAATGAATTTATTTTTTCTATAGAAAATATTTTTTAATTATTTTAAAAAGTTCAAGTATTATTTTGAATAAATTTTACTTTTTACGAAATATTAATGAATTTTTTTTGAAGTTTTACTTTATAATTTTTGACAAGTAAATAAAAATTACTTTTATATGTTGTATAAAATTTGCTTTATTATTATCAGAATTATTTTATTAAATTAATAATTTTCTTTATTTTTTATTTTTTATTACATTTTTATAAAATAGTTGATTTATTATTATTATGCAAACGAAATTTAAATACTATTTTATAATTTTTTTTTAATATTTATAAATATATTTGTTTCATTATTTTATTTAATAAATATTTTCATTATTTTTAATTTTTTGTATTATTTTAAAATATTTGTTTCATTATTATTTATAAAATATTTTCATTAAATTTTCTTTTTTTTAAATTTTTATAAACTTTGTTTTATTATTATTTATGAAATATTCCCATAAATTTTAATAATAGTTTAGTTATTATTATAAAAAATATTTTCCTTATTGTAATTTTTTTTATATTTTATAAAATATTTGTTTCATTATTATTTATAAAATATTTTCATTAAATTATTTTCTTTTTTTTTTAAATTTATGTTTATATTCCATTTATTTCGTTACTTAAAAATAATTTTCATAAATGTTATATTATAATTTTTTTAGTAATATTTATTTTATTACTATCTATTAATAAAAAAATATTTTATATTTACAATAAAAGAAAGTAAACTTTCATTAATAAAAGAAGCCATACATATTTTTACTGAAGAAAGTCACGTGACGGACGCGCTTCTCGCTCAAAAGTAATTTATTATTGTTATGATTATTATGGTTATAATGATTATATATATTATTGATAAGTTACGTTTACTATTTTTTATCAAGTAAAAGCGCCGAAAAGCTCTAGTACTTTATATGTTTGGAAAATATTTTATTCCTGTTCACGGATTCGCTGGACTCAAATTTTCATGCTTCAAGCAAAAATTTTTTAATAAAAATTATGATTACGCTACTTTTTTTGTTAAAAACTTTTCATTAAAAAAAATTACTCGCCGGGTGAACGCAAATTTAGCGAAAGCGCATAGAAAGTTTAAAAAAACCATTGTGTGGTTAAGCGGTAGTGCTTGGTTAAGGCTCTTCAAGAGTTTCGAAGCAACCAAGGTATTTATATTTTCTTTTCTATCACTACTATAAAAAAAAATTCTTTTTTATTATTATTTTTTAAGAAAATCTACTTTTTTATAAAAAATATTTTACTCGAAAGCTCAAATTTATTTTTTACAAAAAATAAAAGTAAAAAAATAAATGCATTTTATATACTTTATTTCGCATTTGGTGATTTACAATAATGTGGGTAAAACCAAACATGTGCAGTGTCAAGTGACCGAACGTTATAATTAAAAATAAAAACGCAAGAATACCGCGCGTGGTGTCCCCAGGGGGTATAGCACATGGTATGTGCCACCACGTGGTCTGTGCAAGTTATTTATTATAAGATAAAAAGAAAGTTTGTACTATTAAATAAGAAATTTTATAATTATTCAAATGGTATATATTAAGAGTTATTTATTAGGTAAGTAAAATAAGTTAATAAATAAAAATATAACCAATGCGCTTATAACTTTATAATATATGTTACTTTCTACAATATTTTGTAATAATTATGTTTACTAAATTTAATTGCAAGTAAAAAAAAATTATTTAAGAAATTCTAACAAGTATTAAAGTATTTAACGATGATGACGAAAAATCAATAATAATAATATATCAAAGGCACCAATAATCTTTAGGTTCTCTTTTCATACGTTTATTATAATTATAAAAACTAACCCTAACCAATGTTTAAATACTAACATAACCATACTAGGAAAAAAAGAAATTAGTAAAAAAAAATTTTACAAACCGTATCGGACAAGTAATAGACTAAATAAACTTATTAATAAACGGCTGCGCAATTCTGCGCAGTTTATTATTCCTTTCTTCATACATTTATTATAAATACTAGAAATACTTTGTACAACATGTCATAAAACTAATAATATCTTAATGTAATTTATAAAGAAAAATTAATAACAAAATATAACGGAGCTTCAGGTAAGAAGTTAAAAGAATTTACTAATTCGCGCAGTATATAAAATTGATTTTTTTTTTTACTTTTTCATACGTTTATTATAAATATTAGAAATACTGCGTACAAAAAATTATAATAATTGAATTACTATTATGATTATAACAAAAAATAAATAAATTTAGGCTAAATAACTTGAATAATAATGATTCGTTAGGAGTACTATCATTGCCATCCTAAGCAAGTTATTCTGATACGTTGCACGAAAAATCATGGTGAAACATTGGTGGAGCATACTAAGTTGATTGGTACACTAACTATTGTTACTAAATTAGTTACGAGTATAAAAGTATATGACAATAATAATAAAAACGAATCAACTCCCTGGGGATAAGGATCTTAAAGTTGTGATTCGGGTGTTTTACTGGAATGAGTACTGGTGTAATCAAGAGTAAGTCTCAATGTTTTGCAACCCAGAGAGGTAATTCGCCTGCAAGGTTATAAAAACAAAATTTCCTTTACCTTTAAAACCTAGACCACCATCTCTAACCTAAAAAACAGCGGATACTTTCGGTTTCAGTAGAATCCTTAAAAAATAGCGGCCCAAACTAGATAATGTTTCCGCTGCCAACAATATGGGCACTGTTTCAAGTACTGCACATCAGAATTTAAATGTGTAAAATGCGGTGACAATCACAACTCTAAACTTTGTAGGAAAGACAGATTTTTTAAACCGTGCTGCGCAAGGGGAACACAGCCATCTACCAGGGCTGCCTTTTCTATCCTCAAAATGCACCACTTTGTAAAGAAGCAAAGGAAAGGGAAGAACAAAAGGTCCAACCAGATATCTCATATTCTAAAGTTGCTGGTTCCGAAGTACTAATAGGGAACTAGGCCTCACGGTAAATTTAAAAAGTTCAAACTCAGTCAATGAAATGATAAGTAACTTTGTTTCCTCAGTAACGATAGAATTAAGCGCTCAAATTGCAAATTCTATTAATGAACTGTTAAATAATTTTAACTACAACCTATGACTTTATCTAGGATACACAAATTGAAGCTCCCAGTTTCGAATGCTGATGGTCTCCGCACCAGGATGCGCAAACTCCAAGAGCTGGCCGTGAGGCCCAGATATTGACATAATTTTAGTCTCAGAAACGCTTTTTAGTCAGGGTGACAAATACACGCTGCCAAACTATTAATTGTATAGTAAAGATGGACCAATTCTGGACATGGCGGAATAGCTTTATTCATAAAAGAAAACACATCTTGCACTTCCCTCTCCAATATCAAAAACGTCCCGGTCTTGAGGTCTTAGGAGTTAACTTGAAACTTAATATCCGTGGTATGCTTCATATATTCCAGCCTATAAACCTCTCGACAAAAGATTAGAAAAGGAGGGGTCTGACTCAAGCTCAGTAACTGTTGGCGGAGACCTCAATTGCAAGCATCCATTCTTGAATAGTACTTGCAGGTAAACCAAGTGGGGGTCCTTCCAGAAAAACTTGCAAAAGAAAAAGGAATTCTCGTGATAGGTCTCAGTGAAGCAACTCATTATGCCACAAATTATACAATCGTTGTGCTCGATATTACCCTGATGAGGAGCATTTGTACTTCGTTTTTGGGACTCTCGTCTGACTACAACCCAGTTCTAACCACTCTTGAGGATACCCCAACAATTTACTTTAAATGGAGAAGAAATTTACGAATTGGTATAGTTTTAAAGGATATTTGAAGGACAACCTATCTTTTTAACTGGTTCCGTCGATCTATAAACTTAATAATGCAGTAACTCACTTAGAGTTCGTAATTCTTGAGTCACACAATCGAGCAACAGCACACAAAACCCTACTTGTTTCACCTCTTATACTACCGGAAAAGTTGAAACGCACAATCTACCAAGAGGCGTATGAAAGAAGGTACACGCTTACTAAATCCCCGAACGACAAACCCTTTTTAAACCAAGCGAATTGTAGGAGTTAAAAATGATCTACTTATTTTTATCAAAAGAACTGAGGAACACAAACTTCAGAATTTAAAAGCCTCCGACAATTCTTCATGGAAATTAGCAAAAGGATTGAAGAAACAAAAATAAACCCTCCCTAAAGTCATACATAATCCACTATGAAGGTCACACTGTTTATCTCCCGTTAGACAAGGCTACTCTGTTAGCAGGATACCTAAGCGCCCTCTTCACTTCCTCTTCTCAATGAGTTAATTGCTCTAATTTTTCCGTTTTACCCACTATTCCCTACACCGATGAAGAATGGACACGATGATTCGCTCTCGCTTACCGCGCTGAAAGAATTTACTGGAGTGATAAAAACACTTACTAAAAAAGCGATCCAGATGATATAACTAATCAAAATGCTTAAACATTTCCCATTAGCTGCACTCACACTGTTAAATTGAGAAATATGAGGTTTCTTATAAAAACGTTTCCAGCACGCTGGAAACTTTCCCAAGTTATCATGATCCCATAGACCACCATCCCCGAATTCAATCTAAACACTTTCGCCCTATAAACCTACTAATCTAATATGCCTCGCAGAAAAAACAAAGAAGTGCTTACTTAAAAAAGATTGCAAGATTTTGTGGAGAGGGGGTTCATAATTCCTAATGTACAGTTTGACTTTCGAAAGGATTATTCCACCATTCAACAGATTTGGAGGCTTTTTGAGAACGTTACCAAAGTGTTAAATTATAAAAAACTATCGAAGGAGCCTTTTATAAGGTATGGAACGAAGGATTAATTTTGAAAATGGCAAATTATAATATTCCTGATACTTTAATCAATTAACCGAGACCTTTTTAAAAAATAGAAAGTTTAAAGTCAAGATAGAAACCCTAACCTTTTCGATTCATACTTTCTTTCTGCAGGCGTCTCACAGGGCTACCTTTTACCCCCTCTCCTGTTTTCGATCTTCACTTCTGATATCCCAACGATCCACACTTTCCCTTGCACAGCATTCTGCGATCTATACAGTTCCAAATTATTCCCGTTGGGTATAAAATATATGCAATCATACTTTGAACTTCTTGAAAGCTGGTCCGCATCTAATAATCTTAACCTTAACCCGACAAAATGCAGGACCTTACAGATATCGCGTAGAAGGAAACATCGCTCGGTGAGCAACTTACGATTATCTGATGATCTCTTGGTGCTCGCAGCTGTAGCTTGGAGTAGTTATTGATCACAAGTTCGTGGGACGCTCACTTAGACTACTTAACTAACAAATTTAGAACTATTAGTAACGATTTATACCCTCTATTATGCAAAAAGAGAATGTTAGATTTTAATAATAATCTGCTTCCATATCAATGCATGTTAAGACCTATAACACATATACGTCTTCCCTCTTAGATCTACTCTTCTATGATACTTAAATAGGCTATAAATCCTACAAAATTATTTTTTTCGATTGAGTACCAATGCCCCGTAGTTTTATAAGGATTTTGCAACTGCTCCGAGACTGTAAGATTGAACTTATCACGAAATTGATTAAAAACAACGCAGAAAAATACTTTCAGCAGACCAGCACTCTTCTACGATAATAAACTTAGATCTTTGGTGGTATACCAAATATAGGAGACCTAAGCACCTGTGGGCCCTACCCACTTTAACTGATAAACCGACACTTATAACGCTTCCTTCTCTACTATTACCAATAATATTAACAATAAAATAATTGTAATAATTGTAATAATAATAATTTAAGCAATAATGACAGTAAAAGTAATAATATATGATTATTTTAATAAGTATTAATTAAATTAATACAAAATGCTTTTATTTTGCGCTCAATAATAGTTGCCTGTTAAAGGTCAACTTTACCTACTTCTGGAGTGTACTCTCCGATCCTTTACTACAAAGGGAATAAGGATTAAGCATTAGATAGGACGTATATCCCTGGCTGTAGTGCCAACTTATAAATAAATAAAAAATAATGACGAAGAAAAATATAAGGCGGACGGGTAACCTTAAATATTAACAAATAAAACATTAAAACCACTTAGTATACAAAGTAAATGCTTATTTTTAAATCTAAATTTATATACTTTTGTTAAAGTCCTTTCTATTTTTATAAAAGATTGTTTATGAAAAAGGCAGGAAAATCTTTTTTACTGTCGCTTACCTTTCAAAGGATATGAATTAAATGATTATCTTTACATTTATTTTTCTATACGTTTGTTATTTATAAAAGGATAATTATTAAAATGCAGAAAATACTTATATGCAATAATTTATTTAAGAAAGGAAAGTTAAAATAATTATTTTTATTCAAAAAATGTTTTTGTTATTGGAACTGATTTATAATATCACTTATAGCAACACACTCATCGGCTAGCAAAATATTTTTTAACATAAACACTCTTTTATTAATCATTTCTTTATTACTATTTATTCATGTATTACTGTTTATAAATTGCGTATAACAAAATTAAGTTAACTAAGTTTCATAGTAACCTATATATAAATTCTTCAATCTTTGCAACTAATACCCGTTAGTTGCAAATATATTTTACTTTTATTTTATAATTTTTAGCTTATGTTGATAATATAAAAAACTTTAGTTTTTAAAAAAAGCTCATTTGTTATAGTTTATTCAGTGTTTAAAGCTTATAACTGATAATTAACATTTTAAAATTCATGCGCTACATAACTTAAAACCTTGTTCTGACTTCCATGGATACTTTTTTTAAAGGTTTTTTGCTGGTTGTTACTTTACTTAAATAGTTGAAACCTCCCAAGAATATTGAATGTTAATTTTTTTTAATAGTCATTTTTCAAGTAACATCTTAAGCTTTATGAGCGGAAATAGCCTCTAACAAGCTACTATAAATAAAAATTTTAAAATGTTTTATTTTAAATAATTAATAAAATACTTTAAAGAGAACAATTTTATAAATAAAAAGAGATTAATTAGGCGACTCGTATTATACAAAACTGAGTGTTATTAGGTTTTGCTAATAATTTTGCAAGTTTTCAAAGGTTAGAGGTTAAACTTACAGGCAAATAACTTAAAATTGTAGCAAAAAAAATTTTTTTTTGAAAGTTTATTTAAATAATAGCTGTTACTTTTCATTAAATGAACGGAAAAAATTAATCTTTAGGCCTTCTTTGCTTTTTATTATAAAAACTCAGAAGGCTTTTAGTAATATACAACTCATTCTGATCGGAGAATTGGATATTGTTGCGAAACACAATACTAAAGGCTCTAAAAATTAAACTAAAAGATAACTGAATATTTATTTACTGCGCCATTTATAAAAATTTTACTCCGAACACTCAGCCTGGAAATTTCAGTAGACCTTTTGATGGCTTTTACTTATTTAAAAAAATAGGGGCTCTTCTGAAAGTACTTTCGAGTACGGATCAAGAAAAGTTTTATTAATGAATGGTAAACTGTTATGTTTTTATTGTGCTTGAAAGAAGAATTTTCAATATTAGTCTATATAATAAAACTTTTCTAATCTTTGACCGTTTACCTGGTTATACTAACTTTAACTTTAGTATAGTAACAAAGTTGGGAAAGAGAGTTTATTTACTATATAATATTGCTCTTAAGATTTATTTTGAAGAGCCTCATGAATGATCTACGCAATACTGTTCACTATTTTCTCCCAAATGCACTGTAACTACTCGTAATCAAGCCAAAAAAAAATACTTTCTGTGACTGAATATCCCCGCATCTCTTTAGACGAAAACGGACACCAATTCGAAGTCATGTAATTAAATAATTTAAATAAGTTGGCCTACTAAAGTCAAAGAAACCTTCTTAAACACTTGATATATATAAATAATTCCTTAATAAGTTACTATCGTTTACGAGTATAAAAAACCCACCACTCTATAATTATTTTCCTCTCAGTGACAGTTCAGCTAAAATATTTATATAAGCAAGTGAAAATTTTGTTGGCACAACTGCTATGACTCTCTACTTGTAAGTTGTTACGTAGTTAAACGTCTTAACTTATAAATCCAGTAAAAAAAAATTTATATGCTGAGCTTCAAAAATGTAGCCTTATTCCATTATTTTTGCATACTTCTCAAAGTTTGTAAAAGTAATATATTTCGCTTTCGAAAAGACGAATAATTAAATAAAGTTCCCTTTACAACGCCCTAGAGAAAATAAAGATTACTTCAAAAACTTGGCTAACTTGAATTCTGATCAAGTATCTTGGCTTTGTGCCTACCTGAATGGGGCATCGCTTAAACTAGTTGAAAACTGATTATATTAGCAATTTAGAATCCTTATTTTAATGGGTAACAACAATAGGCTTTTATATATATACCAGTGGAGAACACTATTCTACTTCTATTCTTTCCAGTCACATATGAGAAGTAGATAATGCGAGATGTTTCTAAAATGCTACTATTATAAAAGTATTAAAATTACTAACTTCCTAACTTCCTTAAGAAATTTCATTTTAATTCCTATAGCCAACTCAATTTTTGAAAGATTAGAAAAGATACGTTTTTAAACAAAAGAGGCATAAAAAGGAAGATGGCTCTAATTCAAAAGCATAAATTTTATAACAAAAATGAAACTGTTAAAATAGGAAGTAAATAAATCGATTTTCATAAAGGACGACGGGTTGTACAATTTTATAGTATATATAGAGGTTAGTAGAAGCCAGCACGCACCATCACCCGTAAAAGAGCAATTAAATGACTTTCTTTTCTTCTAAATTTCGTAGTTATTTAAAGCAATAAAATATACAGCGAAGCGTACTTAGTAATCTTAAAAAAGTTTTAAAGTACTTGCTAGACCAAAAAAGCCCAAGCCCAGTTTCAGTTTTAAGAACTTGAAAAGCCTTCATGTATCAAATAAAAGCTAAAACGAAAAATTTCAATTTAGAATTCAGATCCCAAACCGAAAATGAAACATAACTCTTTTCGTTGTATTAAACTTAAGATACAAAATCATGCCTCGCTTTCAAGTCAGGCAGTTTTATGCTCAAATAAATAAATAAAAAATTGTTTAAATAATCTACCTAAAATTTGTTTTTTTTTCTATGCTTTCTTTAGCTTTTTACTTTCATTTTCAATGAGGCAACTTTTTTTTAACCCAACTAGCTACTTTTATAGTACTTATAGCCCGCCCTCTATATAAATTCAAGTTTAAATTTAAAACCAAAAAATCCATATAATATATCCCTGGTGTGATAAAGTTTTTTAAGTTCCGCATAGTTTAAAAATGCGTTTGCCCGTAGGATATACTCAATAATAGCAGAGCATCCTAAAATTTTCTTTTTTATTAATTCTGCTATGTTTGTTACCTTCAAAATAAATATTTTGCGCTGCACTGCAGTATACAATTATATTATTAAGTCTTAAGCTATTTATGTTCTCCAGTAATCATCATAAAATAATTTTTTTATCAATAATGATAAATTGAGCTTATTTATAAATCCTGTGTAAATAAAAAAACCTTTCAGCCAAACTCAGCCGTTTTTATGCAAAAAAAGCAGAGCAATGACATGAGGAATCGAGGGTTAAAAGTATGCAGTTTGCTACTGCCTTCACAGTTTCTTTTTAAAAAGTTTGTCACTCCTATAATTGTTATTACTTTTCTTAATACCAAATAAACCCGTTATGTTTGAGGAAGATATTACAACATTTAACTTTATAGTTTCAAAAGAAGAAAGAGGTTCCTATTTCCGAATTTCTATATAAAAAATTTCGAAAGTTGGTATTGAATCTATTTGAAAGGACCTTATTGATGCTGTCGACTTGTGTTTCAAATTAATTTTTTTTTTAACTTTCTTCAGTCCTTTATAAAATTTAATTTTAATTGCGCTATAGATAGGTGGCAGACGAAAAATTCAATTACTTTTTAAAAAGAATGAGTTCGTAAATATTGCCAAGTTGTTATACATTAATGCAAAGCTACTTTTCAACAATATAATAGTGTTTTAATTAACTATGAAAGAGCGCGGTGTTTCTCTCAAACTCTTCGCAAACAAGATAATGTAAAAGTTTGCTTAGACTTAAACACATTGTATGAAAACTTTCAAAAGGTTAATTAATAAAGAAATTCCATAAAATTATACAAAATTTTGCTATAACTTATTAGGCTACAATTATCAAACAAGATGAAGATATATGTTTATTATGGAAGGAGCCTGGGCAGTCTTTTTCCCAAATCTTTAAAAAGAATTGCAACGTGGAATATATAAAAAACTCTCAAGATAATAATAGTAAAAACCATGAGGACTTAGAAAAACTCGAGCCACCTTCCACAGAATTAGATAAATATATAATGTATAACGTGAAGCCCTCAATTTATCAAGACGAAAGAATACCAAATGCGCTCATGTGCCAGCCTTTATACCACGTGGGGAAAAGCGTGGGGGGATTAGTGATTCTTGCTAAAACACAAACGGCCTTAAAAAAATTAAGCATCAGTCGTTCTTTCGGGTCACCACATAACCTTTATATAAATTATTTCTGAAAATAATTGTTATAAATAATAGTTAATAATAGTAAGTATAATTAAAATATTATGCTGCTTACAATAAAAAAATTTTTTTATTAGGCCAAAGTGCCGAGATTTTATTAACATATTAATTATGTTATGAAACATTTTACTATTAAATTTTCATAACCAGAATTATCATAATATATGTTATAATAAAAGTTTTTGCATATCTTCAGTTGTATAGGGTTATTGCAAATTTCTTATTCTGTTTAAAATGGTTAACATATTTTCTTATACTTATAAACAGCCTTTGCCTTATTTTTTTTAATTTTAATTTAATTAAGTGAGGTTACTTACAAAAATTACTACTGTACAACATAGTAAATGTTTATATATTAAAATAGAATGTTTAATGGTGAAACCATTAATAAAAACTATGCTGAACTGTATAACTTAATGATTGCTTATGAATTAAATTGGAATGTTTAATTTTTTTAAAATATATTTACAAGAATTTTAATCTTTTTTTAACGCTGAAACAGTGATGCTATTATTAAAAAGTATGCTGCTCTTTTACATGGCCGTCTTGTTTTAAGTGAAAAAGAGAAAGAATACACTTTAGAGGTGCTTAATTTTTGCTTTTCAAATATTATATACACAGGTTTCAATTTATCTACTGACTTATACAATTTTAGAAAGGAATTAATGATCTCGAACTCAAAAAAACTGTACAAACAACCACTGGCTTTATTTCTTTTGTCCTTTTCCATTGTAAATTTTGGTTACATGTTTATGCAGGAAAAGTAAATTCTGTTAGCATCTTGTAGTTTCGTTGACTGTGTAAATTAAATATTTTTTTTAATTTAGTGTGTTTTAAAACGTATTATACTTGACATAACTTTTTACTTTCACCATTCTACTGATTAAATTAAGGCTACTTACTCTTACTGTATATATAACTTATTTTAAGAGCGTTACATTGATTTACCTGTTTTATAATACAAGCTCTGTTTATAGGAAATAAATATCCAATCTCTCTGCGATAATTTTCGCTCGGTTTTTATGGATTTATAACTTTTAGGTAACTCGGACATAACTGCGAAGGAGGCTTTTTACTTTATCGCTCGTCCAGTAGCTGGTGTAGTTAATTATAACATAGAATTATTCTTTGTGAAAATTATATGTATTTATTTTACTACTTAGTTTTTTTTTTTTGACAATAATTATTAGTAATTAAAAAAAATTAAAAAATAACTTGGCAGTAAAGACTATAGATTTCAATATTTTTTGGTCGTTATTCAAAAGTTAGAGAATTTCTAAAGATCTAAAAAGGTCTAACTAGCAGGTAGTTGTCTGAAAAAATAATTTGGTCTTGGGTAGGCAATGTAGCTGAGATGGTACAATCCTTAGAAAAATTTTTTGCTCTAAAAAGAATTTTAGGATTTATGAATCATAATAAAAAATACCTTCTATTGCATACCAAAACGTTTAACCGAAAGAAAGTTCGATAAAAACTGTTATTATTGGTAGGCAACGCCTATTAAATGAATTTTATTGTAAAACTTTCGTTTCAAAAAGAGGTTATGAACCTTAATAAAGTTAATAACTATACTTCAATTTAACATTCGGCTTCTAAGTGGTTTCTTAAGTTAGAATTCAATAGGCATATTAGATGCTTATTTTTTAGTATATATTTTTTCTTTTGCTCATTCACGAGAAGTTTTTTTATATATCGCAACCAACTACGAAGGTTAAGTACGACAAAAGTTATTTAAGCATTCCTTATTCCTTAAGCGTTGACTTTCTGCTATAGAAAGAAACAGTTTTAAAAAACCTTTTTAACCAACCTTAAATTAGTTTTTTTAGTCAGCTTTTTAGGAAAAAAATTAAAACGGACACCCTTTTGTATACCAATCTAAATTATTCCTGACGCCTAACGTCAAGTTAATATTATCAGGAATGTACCAATTATATAATAAAGTTTATATACTTTGCTAAACTGATTAAAATTTTTTTGATTTCTTGACTGTAAAATATTCAATTATTTTACTTTTGTTAAAAAGGGAACAGCAAATATTGTAGACCTTTTAATTCTTCTCCCACCCGTGGTTCGTTTCTCGCACTAGTGGGAGTAGAATTTATTCATCCTCGAACGCAGGCCTCTTGCTTCTGTTTTTAATTTTAATAATGCAATGCTTTACATTAATAATAAACAGGTACACACTATTTATGAAGAAAAAATTCCTGTCAAGTTTATTAATGCACTTAACAGAGAAACTCGAAGTTTTATTAAAAAACAAACCGAATTTGTTAAGGAACTTAAAGCTGCAGGTGGTTTTAAGTTTTTATAGTATTACTATGTAATTTATCAGCTAACTGCATGTTCGTACAACAGTTTTTATAATTCCTGTAACAATAACTGTACTGCCACAATTCTTTAAGTCTAATAATAGAAGCAGCCAATAGCCATAACACCTTAATTTAATTGAAATTGTAAAAATGCGTTACGATTTAATCATACTTGACCAATTAAAAACTTTCATTCTATGCTTACAACTTAGGCTATTGTAGTGAAGGCAAAGATCTTATAAAAGTATTGTGTTATATCTTATTAAAAAGTTTTTTATAAACTTAATAAATTGGTATCAATTAAATATTAATGCTTTTTTACTTAATACTTATAGTAACAACAATAAAAAAGAATACTTAAAAAGACTATGTACTAGAAAGTAAGTAAAAATTAATCATGCACTATACTGGTAGTGCAACCCCTTTGAACGCCTTAATAGGTTTGCTATCTCGTTTTTTTGGTAAACTTTTGTTTGTAAGGAAGAAGATGTAAAACAGTGTAGTATTTTTTTGGTTTGTAATAACAACCAGTAATAATAATTATTAAATTAATTTAAAGGTATGGAAGACCCAACTTTTATAATAAATAAAGATCCTCCCGCTGCATATATTACAGGAAAAAAGGTTTTCTTTTTTTTCTTTATATTTTATGATTGGATTTACAGTCTTTCCAGACTTTTTACGGTCTGGAGTTTACCATTTCAAAAGACGTTATGATACCACGAAAAGGTATGATATTATTGTTTTATAGGTAGGTTGAAATGAAAACCGGACTCATTATGGTGTTACTCTGTTCCCAATTATATAGTTAAGCAGAAGCGTTAATATTTATTTGCGACATTTAAACCTTATTTGGCGTTTACCTATGCTTTGGGTTCAAATAAGATGGATTTGGTATAATTTCTTCCAATTTATTTTTATATGTCTTCTTAAACCCGTTAAATAATCTGGTCCATCTATAATAGTTGCCAAATTAATATTGTACCAAATATCTGCTACTTTTTATTTTTCTGTAGCTGCACATGTTTAATATATCTTTTCTTATATTTCATTAATATTTTTCTATAAAAAAAATTTTAACGAAAGAAACCTTCAATATTTTATTTTTTTTTATGCAGGATCTGAAGTTCTTGTAAAGGCTGCTATAGTAGAGTCGCTTCATTTCAAAGTATATTAATATTATATATAAATATTAGAATTAATATAAAATTAAAAAAAAAATTATTGGTTATAAAATATATTTATAATGACTAATTTTTTTTGTGTGCGAATAAATATAAAATACACCAGTTTTGTATCTTATTTGGTAGCTTATACTTGTGAAGGGTGAATTGAATTATTTATTTGGTTGACTTCTTTAATGATTTTTAATGGGTGGAGGGTTCGATGAATTAAATATTATTATTATTATTTTTATTATTTAAAATTTCATTAAAAAAAATTGTAAATATTCACTATTTTTTGTCTTCTCTTCTTTTTTATATTTAATATTTATATTAATTTATAATTTTTCAATAACTTTTTTATATATTTTTATTTTTGTTTATAATTTGAAAGTTTCATTAAAAAAATATAAATATTCACTTTTTTCTCTTCTTTTTAATTTATGCAGATTTTATTTTTTATATATAAATATTTTGATAACTTTTATATATATTTTTATAGTTTACTTTTTATTATTGTAAACTTTTTATATACAAATATAATATTATTTACTATATATTTAATATATTTTTATTATTTTTTATTTATTATCATTATTATTATTATTATTATTATTACTGTTATTATTATGTTCACTTAATAATTAAACAACTATTATTATATAATAAGCATGAGCCAATCAGAATATTAGATTTAGGGACCGGCAGTGGCTGTATTTTGCTTTCCATCCTCCACTATACCTGCAATTCTATTGGTAAAAAAAATTTGGCAGTTTTTACTTAAATATAAATTATTATTATGAACTTCTCGTTACTTTTATAAATCAATTGATGAACCGGTTCATAAATTTTATTTACATTTATTGGCAAATTGAAAAGTTTTAATTGGCTTAAATTAATTTATAATTCTTTTATTAAAAAATTATTTATTTTGAAATAATCATAAATTTATTGTAGATTAATATTTTTTGAAGATATTACATTTTTTTAAATTTTTTTTTAACTTTTTGCTTTTTACTGCTTCACGCTTAACTTTTTAATTATTTGCGTATAAAAAAATAATGCTACTTTTAAAAATCTATTAAAAGCAAATAGTAATAAAGAGTATTTTAACCCTTTAAGGGCAAAACTCTGGGGCATAAAATAGATTTGTTTTGCGTTCCCTGGTAACTAAATGTTCCACGTTTCTATGTTTTGTTGGTCGCTGCCTAATTCGTTAGAACATGGTACTCAAACTTTCTAGAGATTGTTTCAGAGTTCGAGCCTGTCGTTTAGGGTCATTTTCCATAGGCCTACTCTCGCTGAACCTAGGCGACACGTGGTAAGCATAGTAACCAGTAACCTATAAGGGGTTAAGAAAATTTTTTAACTAAAAAATTATACAATAATTAGTTGTGAAAAGTTTTTACAAAGTAAATTATATTTAATCGGATTTTAAAAAAATATACAATAATAATATATTATACAATAATAAAAAAATACCAAACTTCTTCGAAGTAACACATAAAAGAAACTAAAACTTCAATAAAATAATAGTTTAGAAGTTTTTTAAAGTAAATTAAACTTATTAGAATTATAATTATTAATTACGAAATAACAAAAAAAAATTGTTGAACAGTACAAATATAATTTTTTTTAAAATAATAGTAATAATAAAATTTATAACTAATTAGTGGAATTTTTATTTTATTTATTTTTTATCTTTATATCTTTAATAAACTTTTAAACATATTAAGAGAAATTTAATAATACTTGAACGAAAATTTTACTTAATAATAAAATTTATTTAAATTACTATAAAATTATAATAATAAAAATTCTAAATTAAAATTTTTTTTATTTCTTTAAGAAATTAAAAATAACAAATAAATAAATACTTTAAAACTTTTAAAAATATTATTTAAGCAAAAAATAACCCATAAGTGAATATTAGAGCTTTTTCCTTTTTAAGTAAATCATAATTAATAACATTTCCAAAGATTTTTCAATAAAAGTTAAAAAAAGTTTACTAAAAACGAATATATAAAAATGTTTTAAAGTATAATTTAAGAAACTTTTCCTAACTAAATAATATATAATAAACTTTTTTATCAAATAATTAAAAGAATAAAAAAATATTTTTATTGTTTATGAAAGTTTTTATTGAATATTTATAATAATAATAGTTCAATAAAACTTTTAAAAAAGGCCCTAATATAGTTTAAAGTTGGTAGTTTATACTATAAAGTAACCATTAAATAGGGTCAAAAGTATCGGATTTGCTTATAAAAATTTATTATCTTAATAATTTTTTTCCAGAAAATTTTCAAGAAAAATAATAAACTGACAGCGCATTTTTTACTAGTAAAAAGTTTATTATCATGTTTTTTTATTAAAAAAACTCCAAAGAAAAGGCTTTACATAAAAGATTATTATTATTTTACTTCGTTAATAAAAGATTTTCTATGAAAAAAAGTTTTTTAACAAAACTTCATATATTTAAAAAAAACTTTAAACTTTTTTTAATTTTCTTTAATAATGCATAAATAAAATAATAATTATTAAATATAATAAATATTTTTATATATGAAATTTATATAATAAACGTTATTTTTGTTATTGTAATGAATAATAATATTCTGTAGGAATCGGATGTGATATTTCTGAAGAAGCCTTGCGTATTTCTAAAAAGAATAGCATAAAGCTCGGTAATTGGTTTAAATCAAATAAATTACATTTGGTCAATAAAAAATTATATAATTTATGATATTTAATTGGTTGTTTACCACTTATGTTTTTTATTGGTTAAAAGTTAATCTATTGATTTAATTTTTATATAAATTTTTTGTTAAATTTTTTATGTATAAACTCTTTCTTCAAACTTTAGCTTAATTTTTTTTAAATAATAATTTATTCAGATTCTTTTAATAATTTTTAATCTGGCTATATAAAAAAGGTCAGGAAATATTTATTGATATTTTTTAACCAATAAGAACATTTATTTTTTTCATTTATTAAGTTTTTGTCCTATATTTATAGCTAAATTATTGAGTGGAATATTATACACAACTTTTTATTTGTATTATAAATTAATTTTATGATTTATACTTCTTTGTTATTATTATTACCAAACAATTTTATTAAAGTTTAAAGCTTTTATTATCCGAAAAACTGTTCTTCTTTATTTAAAAGTTTTTTCTGCTTTACTATTATAGTAAAATAATATCTCCTTAACAACAAATTTTTAATTGGACAGTATAATTGTATAATCTATTTTTATTGGCAGAACCATTTGTTTATTTTCAATAGGATATTATCTGCTTTATTATTTTTAAATTTTTTCTATTAGCCATTTTTGATCTTTTATAAGTATTAGTGGATTTAATTGTTTTATTATTTATAGTTTGTAATATTATTAGTAGCACTTTTTTATATTAAATATATATAATATTTTTTAAAATGTACATGAAGTCATGATTTTTCATATAACTTTATTAGTTATGTAATATATATAAATATTATTTATTATTATTGTGTTCAATTTTAAGTAATAATTAAATAATATTATTATTTAAACAATATAGTAATTTTACTAAAAAATAAAAAAAGGTTTGGAGGCGAGAAGTTCATTTATATTATTGGATTTCACGAAAATACACGAAGAAAGCAAAGGAAATGGTTTTACTGTTATAATTATTATTATTATTATTATTATTATTATTATTATTATTATTATTATTATTATTATTATTATTATTATTATGTTATAATTATTATTGTTATTATTATTATTATTTTATAATTAGAAATATTTAATACATCTTTTGATATTATCGTTTGCAATCCGCCTTATCTGGATGTTTGCAATAATCCAAACATTCATGAGCCGCTCTCTGCTCTTGTAATTGGAGGAAAGGGGTTGAAATACTATAAAAACAATTAATAGTTAACTAGTTTAAAAAAATTATAATTTATAATGTTATAAAGTATAAATTTATAAAAAATATTAAAGTTTTATTTTTCTATTATATATAAAAATAAAAAAGAATGAATTGTTATATAAAAATAAGCGAATCGTTAGAAAAGAGGAGAAATTCTTTATTAAAAAAAGGAGGTATTATTATTAAATTTATAAGTTTTTATAATTGAATTCAGAACTTAGTATTATTACTTTTAAATTTAGGAGTTTTCATAATTGAAATTAGAAAAAAAGTTGGTGTAGCTGATATTCTTGAAAAACTTTTTTATGAGCGAAACGGATTCACTATAAAAAAAAGAATGAGAGACTCGTTCGGGTTCGAACGGGCTCTTGTTTTTGAAAATAAATTAATTTAATTAAATTATTTACTGGCAGATCCAATACACAACTTTTAATTTCCTATTTATAATAAAAATTTATTTTAAAAACAAATCGACATAAAAATATATCATTATAATAATTTTTACAGATAGACTCATAACATGTTCGAATTAATTATAATAATTATACATAGCAGACTAACTTGTACGAGAAACTCCATTTATAAATTAACTAAAAAAAGCTTTAATTTACTTGAAACTGGTATACAACTTTTTAATTAGTAAAAGACGAATAATTAAATTTAATTATAATTGCACTGATGTTAAAAAAATTTGAACACTAACACGCAAATTGTTAACGGAAAAATATAGTAAACATAAAAAATTGATTTTTTTTAACTACAAAAAGTTGATTATTATTTTGTAATGGTAATATTTTAATAAATAGAACAGTCATTTAAAATTACTAATAAACCTAAAAAACATCCTTTTTACATATAAAAACTAGTATGCAACTTTTAATTAATCATTTTTTAAACTTCAAAAAATATATAAAGAAAATAAAGTTTCAAAAATCTGATATATAAAAACAATAAGCACCAACAAGCATTTATAATAAAGAAATTACTATAAATTAATAGTATAAAATTTTTTATATATTTAAGTTCTTATGATTTTTTTTTAAGGATAAAATTATACGAATTAATTAAAAATTAAAGAAAATCATTAAACATTAAAAATAAAGATAAAAACTACAAGCAAATCAATTACAAAAAAACTGAGTAAACTCAAAAGAGTTCAAGACTATTTTTTAATCAAAAAGTTAATTAAGATAAATTTCTTAAAATATATAAATAGTTTATTGGAACAGTCGATAAATATTTAATAGTTAACACTAAATGATCTTTAATATAGACAATACTTGTATGTAACTGTTTAATTAATGATGGATTTAAATATATATAATATAAATTTAATAATATATAAACGAAGTTAAACAATAAAAAACAATTCAAATACACGAAGTCCAATAACTCTTGTAAAAAATTAATAAGTAGAGCATTAAAACAGGCGCGTAAATTTAAACATTTTTTGTTGCTAGGCAATTTAACCTGATTTGGAGTTTTTTCAAAAAAAAAATTGCGTAAAATAATTTTTATTCTAAATTTACAAAAAGTTAAGATAAAATCAGTGGAACATTCTTATTAGTAAACATTAAGCAGTTATATTTTGATCTGGTTTAGAGTTTTTTAAAAAGTAAGATTTGCTGAAAATAACTTTTCAGATATTTTTAAAATATAATACGAAATTTATAACTTTATATAAGTCAGCAGAATGTTTCTTGTTACTTAACAAGCTATTACATTTTATCCTGGTCTAGCGTTTTATTTAGAAGAAAAATATTACAAAAAACTTTTATAACCTTTTAAAATATTCAGAATTTATGAAAATATATGATGTAAGTAAAGCATATTTTTTACTTAGCACTAAGCTGTTGAATGACCTGGTTTAGAGTTTTAAAAAAAAAAGTAAAAAGTTGTTCAAGAATACTTCCCAAAAACTTTTAAAATGCCTAGAATTTATAGAAAAGCTCAATGGAACGTCTCTCTACAAAACAATAAGCTGTTAAAAAATGGCATGGTTCCAGTTTTTTAAATTAAAAATACTTAAAAATATAACTTTTATGACCATAACTTATATAAAGTCTTTATATAAAATAAGTTGAATATTTTTTTACTAAGCATTAAGCTGATAAAATTTAACCTGGCTTAGATTTTTTAGAAAAATATTAGTAAAAAAACTTTTAAAACCCTTGAAAATATATGGGGTTTATAATAAAAACATAAGATTAGTAAAGCATATAATTTAGTTAAGCTACTTAATTACTCTACCGATATTGACTACTCTAAAATTTGCAGATATTTAAAAGATATTTTTCTAGACATTAACTGGTTATTATTATGTTTAGGTAAAACATAAACTGAAGTATTACGTTAACAAGAGTTCACAGAGTATTTTTGTCATCAGGGAAAGAAGACATTTTTAATATATATATTTTTGATAAACAGTTTATCTAAACCTAGCTCATTAATGTTGCAGAAGTCAAATTTAGTTATAATGGAGAGCGCTATATACTAGGTACATACACTAATCTATTACTCTCCTTACCCAGCCTTACATTAGAACGCTAACTATATATAAAGAGTAAGCACTCCGTTCTACTTTAGTAGAACAATTAACTAACATTTCTAGTGTTAGTTCGTTATTGTGTTCTACTAAAGTAGAACTTTTTTAGCAAACTGCTTAAGTAGTTAAGTGGTAGAACAAACGAGTACTGTATCTAGAGTGAATCGTGGCGCACGAAAACTCTTGGTAAGTGCAATAGGATTGTGATTTCCAAAAATACTGCACGCAAAGGTTGTATAGTTGTGTTGCCGAGGGGCCGGAAGAGGTTTTTTGTGCGGGAGGCCGCCCTAAAAATGGTTGCGCGGAGTGTAGTAACCTGAGGGCTTTATGTTGGTTAGCAAGCAATCCAATATTTATTTATAGTCATTTAGTTATGCACCTTCTACTTAAGCCTTTTAAATGATAAAAATAGAAATTTTAATTAAAAAGTATTTAAAGGCGTCTTACGAAGTAAATAACTAAACTTAACATCTCTTCAAAATTTTAATGTAGATGAAAATAACTCTTTCTTGGAATGTTAAATAGTTAGCCTGAATAATAACAAATTAATCTCCCAAAAGTTTCTTTTTAATTGATGTTTCTTTTTAATTGATTTATGAAAAAATAATAATTTGTTTCTACATATTTTAACGGAATTAGAATTTAAGCTTAACAATTTTATTTTGTAAGGACTTATTAACAGGACAAGGTTAACTTTCTCTCGACAGTTTATAAGTATATACTAAACTTCATATACTGTATGTATTCCATTATATATTAGTTTTTTAAGTTTTCTTTGTTATTTATTTTTTTTAGAACTGAGTAGTAAGTATTAATAATATTATTTCAAGTTATTTTCCTACTTAAGTAGAAGTTTGAACTACACAACAAGTAAAATATATTTAAATACGTTTATACGTTTATACGTTTATAAAGGACTTTTGTGTAAAAAATAAGAAAATAACTTGTTAATCTTTTACTCACATTAAAAATGATATATATTTTGAAACTTGAAAGTATATGACGTACAGCGCAATCTTATATTGCCAAATAAACTGTAATTAAAATCGTTTTACTACATTTTTATAGCTGTAATATTTATACTCCAGGTAAATATTACTTGTTAACTTTTACACGCAAGAAATTTATCTTTAAATATATATTTAAATAAAAAATACGTATATTTATTTAATTATTTATACATGGCGTTTCCAGGCGCACAAACGAGTTAAGTACGAATACACGAACTCTCAAACAGGTTTTCAGTCGTCCACGAGTGAAAGTAAAACATCTTCACGTGCCCTTCACGTTCAATTTAAACCCCCATCTAGCTTTCAACCGTCATGCTAAGAGTGCGTCGCGTGCTCGGTTGTATTGTGCACCGCCACGCCTCGTGAGTTCTTCCGTTTATAGGCGATTAGCATGTCTAGCAATTGGTTCGTAGAAGCGACGGCGTCATTTTTAAAGATTGTGGTCCGCAGCTCCAACTGTAGTTCTTGGTGGACTGTACCTGCGTACTAACCATGGCGGGTATGTTAAAAGACGCAGCAGTTTATTGTGTCGCACTTGAAACGAGGACGTTATTGATAAGTCGTAGACCCAGGCAGGGGGGATGCTTATGTCGTTATCTGCCGAATGTACAGCTCATGAAGACTAAGCTTAATGCGCAACAGAAGTTTACTTTTGCTGCACAATAGAGGATTTATTATCTGGGTCGCTGCCTTGTCTATCTTCTCCACGTAATTTACATGTGGACTCCGCGACAGCTTAGAATCTATAGCGAGTCCTATTTTACCTGAGAACACCACGGAATTTCCATGCCTCCGTTATAAATTAAAGGTGTCGGCAGCGCATGGCGTTTCTTCGTTAAATTGGCGCCTTGCTCTTTGCTGCGTCAATGGAGAGGTTCATAGACGGCATCAGCTAGTAAGCGCGTCGAGCTAAAATTGTAGACGCTCATATAGTTAGATGCGTGACTTTGATGATGATTAAATCATCGTATCATTGGCATAAATGGCGACCAGCGTGTACAGGTGAGCCTAGCGGCACTCCCCTTGTGAGATAGCGAGATCTTGCACGTTAAAGAGCCGATCGTTTGAGTACAATTTGAGAACTTTTCGAAGACCACGCGGTACCTACAGAGCATGTAGCATGCTATACAGGCAATTATGCCGTCTCGTCCAAAAACCTTCTGAACATCAAAAAAGACCGCGCCTCTGACTTTCTTAAAATTAAAGGCTCTGGCCGTACACACCGTTAGGCGAAGAATTTGTTTGGTCGTGGGGTATTCTTGCGAAATCCAAACTGAAACACTGGTAAAATTCCACTAGTGTCCGCAACTGTCTTCAAACGATCAAGTGTCAATGCTTTAGTTGCGAAGCTTTGATGCCAGTTGCAGTGTGTTTGGCAACATCACGACAGCCCAATATTCCTTCGCTCGGGGAAATAGTCGAAGGTCAATACCGAGTTGGCGAGGCTACATAGATGACTTTTAGCAGCCTCTTGCAGCTGCTTTAACACCAAGTTAGTGAGCCGGTAAGACCATGCTTTTCTCTCGGTAGTAACTGATTTTTTATTTGACCTCACCTGTAGTAAACAACTCCCGATATTTAGTTGTGTCTCAAGATAAGATTTGGCACAAGGGGAGCGTTACCAACGCTTGAGGGGTAAAAATACATTTATTTATCTTTAATTAAAGTTCCTGCTGCTCGATCGAGTTAAAACTTCGAATACTCGAGCGCTCAATCAAGAGTGATCGCAGATATATTATAAATAGCTCAAGGTATCATTATTTTTTTAATTAACAAAAAAAAAAAACTAGCGCTTACGCGGTCACGTGGGCGGCGATAACATGTGCCATCCCATGTATCTTAAAATACGTTCGCTCACCAACAGGCGAGTGGTATGCCTGGTTCTGGTAAAAGACCACGGTATGGCGTTGGAAGATTAGGTTTAAAGGGTCAAACTGGTCTCCATGAAGAGCATCACTCCGCAGAGACCACGGCGCCTTTGTCAGAACACGCAGCAATTTGTGCTGTCGAACTTGAAATGCCGACGCTTTCAGAGTGGAGGTCGTAGGCCCAAGCAGCAGACGCGTATGTCATTATTGGCTGGGTGTAAGGCATTTGTTGTCGATGATGACTCCCAAGTATCTTGCTTGTGAACACCATAGAATCTTCACGCTATTAAAGGTTAAGGACACAAACAAAGGGACACGTTTCTTTAAAATTAAATTACTTTGCTCTTCATCGCATTTATAGTAACCTTCCAATCACGATAGCAAGAGCTTCAAGATAGTGCTGTAGATGCTTGCATAGCAAGGCTGGAGAGGAATATACAGTCGAAACGTCAGCGTAGAGGGCGATTCCTGTATGTGGGTCGGACGGCGTAGAGCATGTCGCTTTTGTAAAATTGCAAATAAAAGGGGCTAGAGAAGTGATCCCTGAGGGGCCCCTGCCGCCAGAGATCGAAGCTTCCACTGTGTATCTCCCATGCGCACGCAGAAGGCGCGGTCATTCAGATATGATTTCAACAGATATGAGAGGCTGACGGATAAAGAGCGCAGCTTGTGTAGCAGACCTCCTTGCCAAACTTGATTAAATGTCTTTTTAATGTCAAGGAAGACAGCCCTCTGTCTTCTTATGGTTAAAAGCGCGAGTGGTACATTCAGTTAAGCGGAGGAGCTGCTGGGCCATTCAGTGCCCTTACCGAATCCAAACTGAGACACTAGTAAAACTTTCCGAGGGTCAACGGCCCCTTTAAGAAATATTCGCAGAAAAATGGCATCACCCACTGTGCGGCAGCTGAGCGTAGGCTAATGGTCGGTACTTGCTAGATGCTGATTCCGGTTTAAGTGTTTTTGGTAGCATCACAATGCTCGCCGACTTCCATCGGACCAGTAAGGCGCCAATGAGTATGGAAGATTTTTATATGGATGTAAAGATAGTGCATCCCTATTTATGGCATTTTCTTCAACAGCTCATTAGTGATGCCATCGGGGCCAGACCCTATTCGTTTAAGTAGCACTTCGACAATTGCTTGCACCTGGTCAACCTTAAGTAAATTAAGTAATTTGCAGTCAACGGAAAGGGTTAAGCTCAGCTTAGGAAAGGTAAAAATACATGACTTAGAGCGCAGACATTTATACATTTGTTACCTATTTGCGTTTTAACTATATTTCCTCTAATAAAATATTACTGGTTAATGTACATCCAATTAAAAGTTAAATTAGAAGATTATGTATACTCTTGTAAAAACCAATGAAATCATAAATAAACATCAAATGCGTGTGCGCGCAAGCAGCGGTAAAACTATAAAACAATGTACTTAAGAGATTAACATCTTTCGAGTGTAGTACGAATTTAGTAAAGAGTTCCATTCCTACCTTTCTTCTTTTATAAATAAATTAGGAGCTACTGTTAAATTGTAAGAACTACGCGAAGTAACTGTGATTGAATTGGATTTATTATCTTATTAATAATGGCAAAGTTTAGATTGAGTTTTAAAGATTATTGGTTTATCTTTTACTCGCATTAATGCATTTAAAAATATATAACGTACAGCGCAGATTTGTTATGTACTTTTTAAAAAAGGTAAACTGCTTAAGTGGTTTTACTGTTTACTAATAGTCGTAATGTTTATACTCGAATTGGTAACTCCAAAACTAAAAAATCTTAGGCTCTCCTTTTAGAGAAAAAACTATTTTGTTAACTTATTTAAGATGGTTAACTATAATGCTTTATTCTCATTTATTCTATTTGAAATCAATATTTAGCACAATAAAGCAATTTACAATCTTTTTTTTTTTTCTGGTTAAACGAATTTTGTTAGACCTCATTTACTAGAGAGTTTTGTTTTATGCATTTGGATAAAGTTTAAATTTTATTAACCACGTACACAAAGAAAAAAGGTTTTTCATTGTTACGAGTAATTATTATTATTTTGTCTAATTACAAGTTGCTCGTTGGCTAGTTATATTTAACAATATCGCCTTGTCTATTTTAAAAAAACCCTCTAACTCCTGCAATCAAGGGCGCTTGCTTACAACGCGCTTAACTTTGGTGCGGTATCGGTAATTTCTATTGTCTATGTTATGCATTAGAAAGCCTGCCTTTATGTTATTGCAATTCTCAAGTTTATTATCCCTTTAAGAATTGTTTCTCATAGTCAATATGCTATAAATATGTTTAATATTTGTGATAAAAGTATAAAAATAAATACCTCTCCGTTAGATTTTTGCTTATTTCGGGTAACTCTATTTACTAGAAAAAACTTTTAGCGTACAGCATTGTGCCTATTTTTTTTTTTAAAACTAAGTTAATATTTAAAAATTATTAATATATTTTAAATGAAATTAAGTATACAGCATTTTTTAAATCTTTTATTATTTAGTAATTGCAAGTTTACATCAAATGAAAGAGTGGTTGATAATAAGGTGTATTCATTTACTTATATAAATAAAGTTAAGCACTTTAACATTAATTAAATTTGCAGTTTAAAAAATTAACTCTATTATATAGAAGAATAATAATTTGAGTAGATATCGCCGTGAAGTAAATTGTAGATTGAGAGTTCTTCGACTTGACAGAGGAAATTCTTTATTAAAAAAAAAGAGTTATTGATAATAAATAGTTTATTTTGTGAGCTAATAACTTATTAAAGAAAAAAATTTTATACAATTGTATTTTTTTGGTTATTTCCTAATACCAGTTTGATACTTTTTTGAGAAGTTCGTTTTTAAAAGTAACTTTACTTAAGAAACAATTCTTTATATAATAAAAAATAATTCGTGTAGCTAAACAACTTTTTTTAATTAATAATAAATCTACGTTTTAGACTTTATTCTTTTGTTAGCACTAATTTTTATTCAAACGTAGTTAACTTATTTTAACCTTAATCTCTAAGAAAGTAAAGAATACATAATTTCTATTACATTAATAATCTCTTGCATAACTTAACTAATAAAATTTAAATAAAAAAAATGAATAATAAATTTAATATATTTAACAAACAAATAATAATGTGTATTATTAATAATAAAATTGCTAACAAATATATATATCATAAGTCTAAGAAAAATGACAACTTTTAGGAATGCCATAACTAAAATAACTTTAAATAAACATAAAAATGGAGAAGTATTTAAAGATTTCTAAAATCGGAGAAGGTCGTTTACTTTTTACTATAGTAAAACTACGAATTAATTATTATTACAGGGACTTATGGAATTGTGTATAAAGCTCAAAATACAGAGAGTGGAGATGTGGTAGCGCTAAAAAGAATAAGATTAGACAGTGAAGATGAGGTTTATATTTTTAAAAATTCGTTTAAATACTTAATATATTCTAATAATTTTAAATAAATTTCTTTTTGTGTAGATTTTAATTTATGATTTTTTAATTAACTTTTTATATCACAAGTTTATATGTTACCAATTATAATTAACTTAAACGTGATAAAAATTCCAAAACAGTAAATTTTAGTTAATAAAATAAGTTCTTAAATGTTTTCTAGTTAAATTTTATAAATTTAATTTTTTTTAATTATAATAATTCATGGTGTAAAATTTTAGAAAAAGAGATATTAAAATTAAATGCCTAAAGGGCGTTCCTTGCACTGCCATACGCGAAATTTCTTTGTTGAAAGAATTAAAGCATCCCAATATTGTTAGATTGTTTGATGTTCTTCACACGGAGAAAAAATTAACGTATGTAAATTATTTTTTTTTCCTTACTGACTCGATTAAAAATTTTAAAAAAAGATTTACAATTTTTTTAAAAATTTCTCTAGATCCTTTTTTTTACTAGTATACATCTTGTATATGTATTTTTTTAGACTCGTTTTTGAATATTGTGAACAAGATTTGCGGAGATTTATGGATGCTTGTGGCGGTGAAATTAATTATTTGCAAGTTAAAGTAAATATAATTATAATTAGAGTAATATATGTTGTTGTAATAAATTAATAACCGTTTTTAATATCTAATTAACTGAAAGTAAATTAAATTTTATATTTATAATTTTATTTTAAAATTTTGATGCCTTCTTTATGCAAACACTTTAGTAAACATTTAAAAATTAAAAATTTTATTTTGTTAGTCGTTTCTTTTCCAGTTGCTTCGGGGCGTAGCCTTCTGCCACGAGCATCACGTGTTACACAGAGATTTGAAGCCTCAAAATTTACTAATTAATAAAGTAAATTTTTACTTATATATGTAGTTGAAGATAATTAGTAAACTTTTGTGATAATTTTTAAATAATCTATTTGTTATTATTTTTTATATTTAATAAATTAAATTTTTTAAAAAAATATAGAATAATGATTTAACAATTTATTCTTATGATATTAAATAAAATTATTATTATTTTTTTACTATAAATTATTTTAATTTTTTTATTTTAATTTATTTATTCAAATAAATTTATTTAATTATTTTATTATATAAATTATATGGTGTAAAAAGTTTATTAAACAAACTATTTTGAAAAACTTTAATAAATAATTATTTTTTTAAATCAACTAAATTAATCAAAATATTATTATATAAATTTGAATAGTTAAAAAAATTTATAAAATTTTTTCTTTCTTTAATGTTTTTTATTTATTCTAAATCTTTTTTTTGATTTTAGATTTTTAATTGGGTTCTTTTAGTTTTTAAAATTTTTATGTAGTTTAAAAAATATATTAAAAGTTTATTAATATTTTAAGAAACTTTATTTCATATTTAATAATTTTTTCGTTACAATAAATTTTTTATAAATTATTCATTTTACTTAATAAGTTTTTTATATGGATTTATATAGTAAACGAAATTTATTAATTTATCTTTATATTTATAATTTTTATTTTTATTTTTAATTACGTTTAAATTTTTATATGAAACTATGAATTTGACTTAATTATTCTAATTAGTTATTGTATGTTTTATATTACTGTAGAAAAAAAAAATATGGTAAACATTAATTTTTGTTAAAAATTTCAGTCTTCAATATTTTTATAAATTTTTGAAATTTTTTTTAAAGAAATTAATTATACTATTTTGATTTTATTAATATACATATTTATATAGTTGGAAGAATATAGAGAACCTTTATTATTATATTTTTCTAAAACTTTAATTCTCATTATTTCTATTTTAAAGTACATTTTAAAAAATTTTTAAAAAATTGTTTAAATTAGTTTAAATAGTTTCTTTTATAAATTTATATAGTAGTGAAATTTAGAAAATTTTTATTAATAATTTATTTATTATTTTTATTTCATACTATATTAAAATTTTTAAAAGGAAAAAAGAACTGTGATCAACATAATTTAATTGGTTTTTTATATAATTTAGTAAATTTGTATACTTATTTAAAAAAATATTATCTTCCTTTACTTTTCTGTTTGAATTTGATTATTACTTTTACGTAAAGTTTAAAAATTTATTAAATTAATTTATCTAAATTTAAAATTTATACTTGTTTTAATGTTTTTGTTGGACTTTGCCTTCGACCAACTTAAGACTTTCAATTATGATCTAATTAGAGGGTTATTATAATTTTAGATCAGTTAACAGTCAACACTAATTAAAATTATATATATTCACAAATTTTCATATAGAAATTTTAAAGCTAATTTGCTTTATAAAAGTAAAACTTTTTGTTTTACAATAAAATGTAAATTTATATTAAATGAAAAGTTTATTGTTATTTATAGTAAATCTTTTAGAAGTTTTTATAAAAGAAGTGCATGAATTTTTTATTTAAGAAACTTTAATACTATAAACTGAATTTACAATATCGATTATGAATTATAATTTTAACTTTTACTTTATTTCAATAAGAAAAAGTTTTTCTCTAATTGTAAAAATTTATGTTAAAAGTATTAATAATTGAATAATAATAAGTAAAAAGCAGTTAACAAAATATTATTTTTATTAAATTTCTATTAAAATTTAGTAATACACCAAAAAAAAAGTAAAGTTTTTATATTTATAGTATAGCAGATTTTAAAAGTTAATAGTATAATCCATGTTAATTCTTTTTTCTAAACTTTTTATAAAGAATCTTTAATACTTTTTAGTGTGTATAATATTTTTCATAAAGTTTTCACTTTTCTAACTAATATTCAGCTATTATATTCTTTTATTGTTACACTATTTTTTCTTGTTAAACTTTTTATATGGATAATATTATTAGGTTTGGTGATTTTTAAATCTAATACGCAGCGGTCTTATTGGTCAATTTTCTACACTATTTTTTAAATATTCCAAAAGATTTTTTATAATTCAACTTTTTATAAGTAAAATATTATTCTCTAAATTTATAATTTATTTAGCAAACATTTAGCGATTTTATTGGTCTATTTACACGCTATATTTTTTATTTACCTTTAAAGTTGTTTATTTATAATCAAACTTTTCATTTGTAAAATGATATTCATTAAATTAAATGCCTTTTTTTTAACAAATATGTAACATTTTATTGGTTCGCTTTCACACCTATCATTTTTATAGTACGGAGAGCTGAAGCTTGCAGATTTTGGACTTGCCAGAGCCTTCGGGATTCCCGTGAGGCATTACTCTAACGAAGTTCTTTTATTATTATTATTATTTTATTTCTATTATTATAATAATAATCAATCTATCATTTTTATATAAGTATATAATAATCTTTATACTTCTTAAGTCTTAGATTTATTTGAAACAATGTTTTTCTTATTTATTTATTTTAAATTTAAGGTAGTAACTTTGTGGTATCGTGCACCTGATGTTCTCTTAGGCTCCCGAAGGTTTTAGAAAATATTATAATAATAGTAAGGTGTTTATATATATATATTTTGTAATTTAGATATTCCACTCCGATTGATATATGGTCGGCCGGTTGTATATTTGCTGGTACTTTTATTATTATTATTATTATTATTATTATTATTATTATTATTATTATTATTATTATTATTATTATTATTATTATTATTATATTATTATTATTATTATTATTTAGAAATGGCCCAGGGAGGAGAGCCGCTTTTCCGTGGCGCCACTTCGTACGATCAAGTAAATTTATGCCTATTTTAATTTTTTAAATGAGTATTTATAAGTAAATTTATTTTAATACGCAATAAAAAAGTTATTGAGGATATTTAAATTGTTGGGAACGCCCAGCAACAGCACGTGGTTTGGCGTTAGTGAACTTCCCGAGTGGAACGTATAATTATTACTATTTATATTATATAAAATTTATATTACTATTTATTATGGTATAACTTTATTTAATAATGTTATATTCAAAGTCATTCACGAAAAAGTATACCAAATATTGAATACATTTTTATAAATTTTAATAAATTATTATTAAAGTATACGTATTTATATCATAATTTTCCTTTTTCTTATATAAACTTATTATTAATATAATTTCTTAATGTATACAATTTTATTATAATACTTTTTTATATATATATACACTTTATTATTATAATTACACAAAGTGTACATATCATTTATGATAATAATTATATTTATTGTATAAATACATTCTTATTATTTAAAGTATACATTTTTTATTATTATCATGCTTATATTATTATTCAAAGTATATTTTTCTATATTGAATAAATTTCTTATTATTATAATCATATAAAATATGCATATTTCAATAATTATTATTATTTACAGTAAATATACTTCTGAAATTGTATAGATATATTATTATATTTATTATCTAAAATGTACACATATTTCATTATAATACTTATTTCTTTTGTACGAATTAATTATTATTAAAAGAGTATTTATTTTTTACTTATTATTATATTATAAATTTATTATTTTTATTGGAAGTGTACATATTTTTAGTATAATACATATTTATTGAAAAAATAATATTATATTATTATTGAAAGTGCCCATATTTTTTAATTACTTATTTTATTGTATAAGTAAATCATTGTTAAAATTGAACGTATTTTTATATAGTACTTTTTTATTAATAAATATATTATTATCAATGAAACTGTACGTATTTTTATTTTAATACTAACTTTTATTGTGCAGATATATAATATTATTAATTTTATTATTATTATTAATTTAAGTGTACTTTTTTTTATTATAATACGTATTTTTATATAATTATTATTATCTAAAGTATACATAGTATTAATACTAATTTTCATCATATATATTTATTATCATGTTTGAAAGTGTACATATTATTTATAATATTTAATATTGTTATTATTGAATGTTTAATTTATAACTGCATTTATGTTTATTGCTAAAAAATAAGTCAATTTTAAATAAATTCATTTCTAGTTTAAAAAGCTACAAGAACTACAGCTAAAAATCTTTTTACAAAAACTTAAAAGTTTTATTAAAGATGCGTACATAGCACCAATTTTGCACTTAAGTCGCCCCGAAGAGTAGAAAATGACACTCATTTCAGCACTTGATCGATAATTGCTAACGGCCAAATGCGCCAATAAGAGACAGCGCTACCATGCATAGCACCAATCACACGACTGAAGCCATTGAGCTCATGATAGAAACTGTCACCATAGTTGTTTACTTTAAATAAAAAATTTATAATTTTAGAAAAAAAAACTTTTAAAAAGTTTTTTCATAATTAATTATTTTTGTTAAATTTATAAAAGTTATTATAATTATAAATAGTAAAACTTCTAAATAAAATTTTAATTATTTTACAATTGTTAAATTTTTAATAAAAACTTGTGATAATTATAAAAAGTTGGTTTTATGTTTTATTTTAATTATTAATTAACTTGTGTTTATTTTATAAAAAAATTAATTATTGTTATATTTTTTTACAAAATTATTAATACATTTGTTAAAAAATATATGAAAAGTAAACCTTCATAGTTTTTTTTATAAAAAATTATTAATTTGTTCAGTTTACGTTCTGAAATAAAAAAACTTTAAATTGTTTTAATATCGAAAATATTTGTGATTTTTATTTTATAAATAATTAATAATAAAAAGTAAACTTTTATAATTTTTATTGATTGAATTTACGAATTCTTTTTTTGTTAGCCGGAATTCCCATTTTACTTGCCTCAACCGCTATCCATCCCCACTTTGGATGCAGCAGGTATCGATCTTCTCTCGAAAATGCTCGTCTTTGTACCCGAATTTCGGATCTCTGCGGAAAGTGCGTTGGCGCATCCTTATTTTCATGACGTGCCAGAGCAAATAAGAAATATGTGTTAACAAGAAAAAAAAAATTAACTTAATAAAATCTAATAATTAGCGATGATTAAAATAAAAATTTAACGTATTTTTCTCTAGATCAAGTGTTTACCAAAAGTTTTATTGTAAAGAATTGAAATAGCTTAAATCTTTGTGAATTTAGTCATTTAAAAGTAACACGCTCTCCGACGGAGTAGAAGAGGGAGAGCGATCTATCTGTTCCGTAGAAGAAGAGTATTTATACTTTAAAGGAAGAAATACAGAATGGTGAGCAGACGTAAAAGCACCTGCTGTGACACGTGACGCCGCCCCGTAAAGCACATGGCCCTGTGCTATCAAGGCATATGTGTGGCACCTGGTTTTGATCACGTGATTTATCAGAGTTAACTCTAACACTCTCAAAGCGTGATGATAAATTTTTCGTTTTCGAGGAAATTCTTGGTCACTACACAGTTATCCCTAAGTTAAACTACTACTATCCTGTTAAAAATAATCCTTCCATCAGCAGAAGTTAATGTTAGCTTCCTAAGAACCAATGCAATGGTGTATATAATAAACTAAAAAAATAGAAATAAAAAGTTATTCAATGCTTTGAAAGCACAAAAATTATAAAAGCTCCAAAGCTACCCGATTAGTGGGACCAAGCACCCGACAAGCAAATTAAGAATAAAGAAGGGTGCCATGCGCACACTTCCCCCTTGTATAACAGTTACGAGTATTAAATTTTTATTGTTATTCCTTAAATGGCGCCATCGTAAATAGTGGTTAAAAGTAGTGCATATAAAACACCTAACGCATGAACAAGTTTTTTAAATATTTTTTTAATATATATCAAATAATACCGCTCTTTGTAATGGCTATGAAGCCCCAACCAGAAAACGAAGAGCAAAAAAAAATTGATATTTTGTGGGGTGCTTGTCGTCTCTATTTGTATCTATAGGAACCATGTAATCAGGCTTATATAAATAATTCTTATAGTCAACTCTTAATTATAATTAGAAAATTAAAAGCTGCTAGTTATCGTTTCTTTAATGTAAACATAAAATTAATAATTCATTGCTTGGGCTTAATGCTATTGTCCAAATACCTTTTTCCTCGTTATGTATTTACCTTAAAGTGTATTAGGTAGAATCACTACTAGACTAGGTAAACCCATAGTCTGTGAGTCAACCCATCCCTGGATGGCATGCTGTTGCTCACCTATGATAGCATATGCGTATATATACTCGGTAACAACAATATTTATATAACATGTTCCCCGTGAGCGTGATTTTTAACCAGCCCCTATTAAAGAATATTTACATCTCCTCTAAAGTTCGATAATTTAATATATGGTTTAGAATCATACTATTGGCTAGAAAACGAAACATAGAATTATAGCCATTAATTATAAGAACAGTTTAGACCTGTAACGTTCAGACTCCCTTACGAGCAGTTATCTTTTCAAGCGTCTCACCAAGGTTTTAAGCAGGGTCAACATATGATCTTATTAAGGTCTTATCATTACAGGAAAGTAATTTAGCGGGAATAGCTGAGCAATATAGGGAGGGTAACCCCTAGAGAAGGGCTAAAGAATATTGAGTTTTTACTCCTTTTAAGAGCAACTATATTTAGCCGTGCCAGACAACATAGAACTCTCCGCAGTTATGTCGAACCGCAATTAGAGCTTGACTAAGAAAGATACCATATTTACAATTCGTCGGTCCGTAGCATTTATAATACTACTAGCTATAGATACAAAATATCTAAGTTTAAGAAAATAAAACAGGACCACATGACCAGTCAAGGTTAACTAGTTCAATATGTGAGTCCATCATACCGGAATTGAGAGTTATCGACGTAGCTCAGCGGTTAAAAGCATTTGACGCCCATACTTAAGGTCGTAAGTTTAAAATGCCAATCGCTAGAAGAGCCAAGAGGTATCCATGTAGAGTACATACTATATTAAAGCTGGGTTGGTTTATTAATCAGTTTCGGTCTGTATGTTATACCTTTACAAAGGGTCGAAATATGCTTCCATATGTTCAGTAAATTTATTTGAACCGGATAACGATTTACTTTGTTTAATTTGGCTCCAATTAAATAAGGTAGGTCAAATTCAATTTTTTAAGTGGAAATATTACTTCTCTATTCCTGTATTTTTATTGGTTGATTCTCAGGTTTCCATTGGTTTAATCACGGATCACTTTTCCAGTGAAATTTAAAGGGTTAGTTTTTTGCGATTATTCTCTGTTTTGGGTTCGTGTTTTTGTGTTTGTTTTATGGTTGTGTACTTTATACTTAATATTTTAAACAATATGTTTACATAATCTATATTTTTTTTTGTTTTTCTATTTTTGTTTTGTGTTTTCCGTATATAATATTTTTGTATCTTGTGTTTTAAATTGTTTCTTAGGGGGATTGGCGCATGGTATATATAGTACTAAAACCTAGGACTGTATAGTAATACTATTCAACCGCCACAAAGCGGGCAAACAGTACCATTACACAGCAGCGCCGATCAAAAAATGTGTTACTGTGTTAAAGTGCCTGTCCTTTAGGCAGCTATGCTTAAGAATGGAATTCGAACCTCTGATGTTAACTGTGAAAGAGTAAAGTTTTACCACTAAACTACTAAGGCAATTTGATAAGTGTTCTATGTTAGTAGAACACAATTATTAACGGAAAAACTAGAAAAATATTAGCTAATTAAAGTTTTCTACTAAATCAGAATGAAACTAACTAACACTCTAGAAATGATAAATAGGTTGTTCTACCAAAGTAGAACGAAAAAAAAGAGAGAGAAAAGAGTTAATTCCTGTATTCGCCTTGGGCCTCGGCTACATCCGAAGTGACTACCTCATCCGATTCATACGGACCATACTGCGTAGAATTCAGGATCAAAAAGTCATCCCTCTGATATTACATGTAAAGTAAAACTAAACTATAATAGTAGTAACACTTTCTTATAATACATTTATTACAAAAAAATAAGTTTTTATTTAATAAAACGTAATAATAATAATGAAATACAAAAAAAGCTTAAATTTCCTACTTGTTTATTTTTTCCAATTTTCCTAACTCTAAAATGATAAATTACTTTGTAATAATGGAAAATATACCAACAATTTTACCTTTCTTCCTCTTGTATTATGTTAGAGATATAATGTTTGTATTCGGTAATAAAATATGTTAGTTTTCTTGCTAGCACTAAACCATATTTAAGGCAACTCTACCATAGTTATAGCTATAGAAAAAACGTTGAAAGATGACCGATATATATAAAAAAAGGAATCAACTTATATACCAACCATTGCATTTAATTTTAAATAAACTAAGAGGCCAAGGGGTAGCTTTTTACGATCTATTTTGTAGTGCATGTTTTACGGGGGGGATGTTACATTAAAAAGATAAAACTTAAATGAAAGATCAATATGTAGAAGAACGTGTTTGCTTTCCAATGTCTTCATGTTACAAATATCCTTTAGGGTTCATAACTTCTGTAATTTTTGTAGAACGTTAAATATTACTAAGATAACTTATAGTAACAATACGTCTTATAGCATTAATAACAATCCGAAATAGTTTTAATTAGCTCATAACTAGAGACAGAGCTATGGACACTAAAGCATTATAGATCAAGTAAATAATAACCCCATCATAAGTAATTAAAAAACTTTACCGAATTTATTAAAACTCTAGAAAGGAAACTCCGAACGACGTATTGAGTTTTAACTTAATTTATATTAAAATATTGCATTCTATTTGTTGTCAGTTATGAAGAATTCCTTTAAAATTGCAAGCTAGGTAAACAACTCCAGACAGCCACTATAAGAGATGGGCAAAAATATTTATAAGCTATTAATTAGAGCCATAACTCTAATGACTAAAAATCTGGCACATTATCCGCAAACCAAAATTTTTTATTTAGCACCCAGTTCTAATTTTAATAGTATACTAGTCTTAAAAGGCATACAGTTTGTTGTATTATACTAAAGTATTGTGTTTACTAACTTAACCATAGTATCTAATATTAGGTACTACCAATTTTTTATTAATACATTTTTTAGAAGACCCTAAAAGATTAAGTAAGCCCCCAAAAAGTTAATCCCCCTCCATCCAAACTAAATTATTGACATATGCAGAAAAGACATGCCGGGCCCAAGTGAATTGCGCCGGTCATCAGCAGCAGAATCCGGTTTTTCGCGCAACCACCGATGGTTTGTCACAAACAATTTTTAGCAGGGATCACACTAGGGTGCGGAGAGTACTGGCTTTAAATTTTACTGCAGATCATTCGACCTGTTACCGCAAAGTTAGTTGATGCAGTCTGATGTGGGCTTCGACGTCTTTAGTAGCATGACCACTAATGCAAAAGCTAGGCACCAGCAAAAGCATAGTTTGCTCGCCCTAGCAACGAACTGGGTTTAGGAAAACAATAAAATAAGCCAGTACGGCAGTAAAGTTTGTATTACGTCAGTGACGCCGTTGGGATCGTCAAATATAAATTGCTGCAATGTATCTGGGTATAATAGGTATTTCTCCAAAAGTTTTTATTAATAAAGCGACTCGCGCATCTTTTGCTTCCAATTCATTGGGTGGCACCCCTATTGTACTGCAGTTTTTAGTGGTTATATGTAATTAATTGTTTACTGCTACCATAAACTTTAGAGCGTACTATATCATGCAATATTCGACTAAAGCAACTAAGAATTCACATTTTTTTAATGTAACCATTACTACGACTTTATAATTATTTTATTATTAGACTTTAAGAAACCTAAAAGATAGTAGCACGAAAATATTATATTAATCGCACTTATCACTATGGCGTCTTTTATTAGCTGAATTTAAAGGAAATTTGCTAAAAGTTGATAAAAACCGAAAGTGGGAGGTACCTTGACTGGAAACAGCCATATATTATTAAGTCCTTTCTTTCTGTATAAAACTGCTGATACTTTGTAAAGAATCGTTTAGGACGGCGAAGATAACGCGTCGCAAATATATATAGAGTAAAACTATTAAACTAGTAACAATACTGGGAACAGCAGTCAGAACAAAATTAGAACGCTCCATTGTAAAGACATAAAACAAAATTCAAGCTATTCTAATAGCTCTGGCAAAAGCATGCATATAAAGATTAAAGTTTTTCAGTAGTTGAGGTAGTTAAATAGTAGCTATCCCTCTAAAAATAGCTTATATTAATAATAGTAACAATAAAATATCCCAATTTAAATAATAATAAAGATATATCAGTTGCAGTGTAAAGCAAATCATACTATTAAATAATGAAGGCTCTGATAATAATATACGTAATAATTATAATATTAGTAATAGTTAAGTAAATCTAAACCACAGAAGTTGGTAACAATACACATTTAAAAAAAAAAGTAAATATTTCACCCAAAATTATTTTTGAAACGATAATAGGTTTAATTTTTTCTTTAGTACTTTAACATAGTTGTAGTAAAAAAATAGCTACAGATTTTAAAGATAAGCAACTAAAGAAGAAGCACTTAATAGAGTTTTTAAGAGGTGTCTCGCCAAACTAAGATGTGCGGAGTACTTAACCTTTAAAAATTGAGCAAAGAAGTGAGAAAAAACGTTTAAAATGTATAATTTTTTTTTAAAAACGTTATAACATTACATGGACAAACAAAGAATATTATGGCACTAAGCAACGGACGTTTTAAAATAAATTTACTGGCTTTTCCTTTTAATATCAGGCATAATAAAGATCTTTCATTCCCCTGTGGGTTTGTAAAAAGTAGTCCCAAAGGTCTTACCTTTCAAACTCGAAAGATGTCCCCCCCCTCTCGCCTCTGAAATTTTATTAGCATGCCAGCACTCGATCGCTCAAAATGAAAAATTTAACAGTAAAACTTTTTTGGAAGGTGCAACTAAAAAATCATTAAAAAACAAAAAACTTTGGTTCATTTGTAGCTAAACGAAATTCTTTGCTTCTTGAAAAAATTTGTTTAGGGAAATTGTTTATTTTGCAAAATTTCGATACTTACAGAGTAGGTATTAGTATTTTTTCAAAATTTTTGCACAATATGGCTAATTATATACCTTTTTTCTTGTTAAACAAACTAAATTTTTCTTCAAAGATATGTTTAAAGTATTTTAAAAAAAAATTGGCTTTCATTGCGTAGCAGACCTTTTTTCCACTTCCATCTCACTGACGCCGCCTAACAAAAATTTAGTCGGGATTTTTAAATCAATTAAACTCTGCGTCGGTTTTGTTGAACATCTTTTAATTTCCTTTCTACTAAATCAAAATTTTAGTATTATTTTTGCAACATATATTTATTATTAACTTGAGAGAAACTTATTGTTCTTTGTATAGCTTAACTGTTTAATTTATTAAACATGACCAGCAAGTACTGTTTGTAACCCCAACAGTTCCCGTACAATTCTCGTTTTCTTTCAAGGCTTGATTAATTAGGTAATCCTAAACCTAATTTAATAATAATATAAAGGATTTCACTACATTACTTTGTTTCGTTCTCTTTTAGTAACTATTTTTCTTGTTTTTAAGATGCCAGTCCTTAACCGTTTTTAAATATTTTAAAAGAAACTTACAAAAATCATGGTTTTACTGTTACTGCTATACTTCGTTTATTTCAAGCATTGTTTATACTTATGCACTTTAACAAAAGCTCGAGAACGGGCCCTAATACTGACCAAGCAACTTACAAACTCTGTTTATATGAAATTGCTAAAAACGTAAACCTGAACTCAGTCGGGAAGGCAAATATACTTTGCTTATACCGTTTATTTAATAGATTTTAACTAAATATTAATAATTTTCGCCCTCATAAGCTCTTATTAAATTGTAAGTTTTATAAGTGAATTTAAATTATTTAATGATCTTTCGCATTCGTAACTTTTAAATTTAAAATATTTTTTCCAAAATCAATAAAAGGGTGTTTTCTTCTTTTAAGCTGAGAGATTTAAATCTTTTTCAAATCCCTTATAACACTAAAGATGGTAAATTACGCCTAAAAAATTGGGGAGGATGCTCGTAAAGATATTTAATTTAAAGTTATTTAGGAAAAGGGCTGTCCTGCCGTTTTTGCATAAAGTCCTTTTAAAAATTAAAGGCTACCTGCTATTATGGATGTTGCTTAAGATCTTTGGCTCATTTCAATTTAATTATTAGTAAAGTAATATTTCATAATAATTAAGAAAGCAAGTAGAAAACATCATAAATTGGTAGTTGCTATTACTTATATATAAAAATATCATAAGCATATTCCCTTTTAAATGTTTTATAGTTTTTTTAAAAAAAAATAAAATTATAATGTCAATAGTTTATCCAACCAGTTTTAGTAAAGCTCACTAATATGTTATAAACATTTATACTTTTGCTAAAAGGGTACGAAAAAAAATAAGCGAAAAATAGTAAATTTATAAACGTTAAAAAAATATAACCAATAACAATACATTATATTAATAAAAAAATTAAAACTTTTAATTTTTTTTCATGCTCTTAAAGAAGCTCAACTAATTGAGAGTTGCTTCTCAGTTTTTCCTAATAAGTAAATAACAACGAATCAAAATTAATAATGGCGACTAAAGCAAGACTTAGTAACCAAACTATTAAGATGAAAAAATTAAAATAAAGTAATCCATTATAAATTAGAATTAAAATCTTAAACAGATCCAACCACAACAAACGGTTATCAATAAAGAATACTCTTAAAACTTGAATGACGGCGAGATTGTCAGCCTCAGCGCTTAAATTATTTAAAAGTTCAGAAGCTTTTTCAGGCAGAAAAACAGAAGCGCGTTTAAAGTAATTCTGAAGTTATATAATTATTAAATAAAAAAGAATTCTCAACAAACTGTAAAGCTGTACATCTAACACTGCACAACCAGGCGACTTATCACGTGTAAGTTTGGTGAAGTCTAACGCAAACTGTTCACTTTTTGAAGCCATTTTAGCACTACGCGACTCTTCAGTATTACAATTTTTAAATTTTTCTTTCGAATTCTGAAGTCCAATCATCGTGTGCATGTCAAATTCGGAGCCCAAGACTAATGATGCAAAAAATTCGACTTTTTTCTTCGAAAGGCGAAAAAGCTTTTTTAAAGCAAAATCTTCACAAGTTTTTATTACGGAGTGAAAGAGATAAAGGATGTCAAAAAGCATTACAGCCGACGCTTCCCTGCAATTTTATACGCAGAAGAACTAATGAGGCCTTTAAAATTTTAAGTAAATTTGTTGTTAAAAAGTAAACTATAGCACTTGAGAAAAATTCGATAGTTGAAAAAAATTATTTAATAAAAATGGATTTTTTTTAAATTCCAAATGCTAAATAGCTTTCCGCCTCCAACTATATAGCACGTGATTACCACATGGAGATCACATTTGCACTTCAAAAAATAGAGAAAAGCACGTGCGCGAAAAAAGTGTTAAAATATTTTAAAATACACTTTTAATAAAAAAAATTTTATAAAAAAATTAAATCAATTTAATTTAAAAAAATAGAAAATTTCTTTTTTCCATATAAAATAATAAACTACAGAGATATAATCATGAAAATTATAAAAAAACATGACTTATAATAATAAAACTCGGAAAAACTTTACATTTTCTTTTGTTATAACAATAAAATGCATGAGAAAAACCTGAAACACAAGTATGAAACGTCCTTAAAGATCGATATACTAAAAGCTTTCGTCTGTTTAAACGAGCTCTATAAAAAAAATAATAAGTAAAAAAAAAAGAGTAAAAAAAAAAAAAACTTCATCGGTGCGAAGCAGAAGTAGGTGCAAAGCATCTTCAAAAGTGTTACTCAAAGTAAGCATTTCGTAATAAATATTCCATTTATTATCATTATTAGTTTTCTTCGGACGGACGTTGGGAATATCCAAAACAATTGATAAAGTTAGTAAGCAACTCAACGAAAATTCTTTATCAGAGTAAAAGTCTCCGTTAAAATAGCGACATGTATAACAATAGGCGTACCTAATAATAATATTTACTTTATTATGCTTTTTATATTTATTCTTCTTAGTTATTATAAAAGTATTATTCATAAGAACATTCACTTTATTGTGTTATTATATATCTATAATTTTTTATTTATACATTTACTTTAAAAAACTTCATTATATATTAATGAGACTTATATAACTCACATTATACAAAGGAAATGCAAAAACAACGAAAAAGAAACTTCTTTATTACAAGAAAACTTTAACAAGGAAGGCCTTAATATTTTCACGCCCGCGTGTTGGGCCTATAGAATTACGCAATAATTTATAAGTAAAATTATTCAACATATCCAATAAATAATAAATATAAATAAGATTAATAAAAGATGTAGTTAAAAAAACTTAATAACTATAAAATTTTATATTAAAGTTTATAGATAAAAAAATACATTAAATATAAAAATATTATATTACGCAAAAATTAACATAAAAACGTAAAAACATTAATAAAATAAATATATTACTACAAAAAACATATAATTTAAAAAAAAAAAGAAAAAAATCCTATTCAATAAATTATATTAATAAGTAAATAAAGAAGTAATAAAAAAGAATTCTAATAAATTGTATTCCTTAACAGAAAAAAAATTTCATTTAAATTTCTTATTAATGAGAGCAATACTTTTTCTTAATTTATTATTATAATGAAATTTAGTAAAAAAAATATTTAATGAGCATAATACACAAAAAAAAATAAAAACTTTTTTCATACTAGTTAAAAAATATATAGAAGTAAAGAAGTAAAACCAAATCGAATATATTTTTATTATACTGTTCGCGATACTCGCAAGCGCTCAAAAGCTCGAAAGTATGGAAGTTTTCGGCGACGAGCCACCAGGCAGTCCACAGAGTAACCAGATTACCGAGACGTCCGTCTTTTAGCGCCTGGCCATTAGAAAAATATAAAGAAAATTGAGAAAAATATAATAAAAAATATAAAAATATTAATTTAAAGTAGAAAAAATACTTTCATAAATAAGTAATTTCTTATTATTTGTTTATATATTTAAAATTTATAAAAAAATAAATGTAAATAAATATAAAAAATATAGTTTATTTTATACTATAAGCCCAAAAAAAATAATATAAAGAAGTAAAAAATATTAAAAGGAATAAATTTAACAATATACAAAAGTATAAAAAAATAAAGTAAAAAAAAACTTTTATAAGTTAATAAAGAAAAGTATTTTAAAATTTTCTTTTATTACTAAATATAGTTAAATTTTATTTTATATAACAATAATAATAAAAGGAATTAATTTATTAATACATAAAAAATTCTTAACGTTTTATATTAAAAAAAGTCCACTGCTCCAGTTTATAGACAATCACGTGGTTAATCACGTGCAGCTTCAGAAAAATAAATAAAAATAATGCATCTGTTATATTTCTTTCTTCAAACAATAAAAAAGTATAAAAAGAATTACTTTTATTATAAAATTCGAAATATTTATAAAAATTAAATTAGATTAATATTAAACTTTATGTAAGTCACGTTTCTCGCTATTACATACTTTTAGAATTACTTTTCTTAAAAAACAATATATTTAAACTTTAAAGAGTCACGTTTATCATTGTTATATATATATTTTAAAAAAAACAATAAAATATATAAAAAAAAAAAGTAAAAAAAATTAATTTATTTAAAAGAAAACTTTTAAAAGTCGTTTCTCATCATTGTATATACTTTTTCAAAAAACCATAAAAATGTAGTATAAAAGAATGACTTTTACAAAATATTTAAAAAAATTAAGTTCAAGTATTTATAAAAAAAAAACTTTAGAAAAGTCAAGTTTCTCATTTTCTGTTAAAGAACACCAAATTTCTTCAAAGTCTGTATCTATAGTTTATTAAAAAGTAAAATATAATTGATAGATATATATATATAAAGTAACGAAGTAATATATATATTATATATAAATTCATTTATAAAGTAAATTGTGTGATTCGAAAAAAAAGTATTATAAAAATTTTAATTAATAACAAAAATACCCTAACTCATAAATAAAATTAGTAAAATTAAAATAATTTTAAATTATAAAAGTAGAACATATAAATTATAGGAATTATATAAAAGTAAAAAAATAACTATTGTAATTATAACAAATATAAAAACAAAAAAGTATAAAATCGAACAAAAATTATAAAATAAGAGATTATTAATTTAAAATATTATTAAACTTAAATAATTCTGAAATTATTAATAAGGTAACCAAAAAATTATAGTGCTTATCTGCATCTTAAACAATTCTACTCATTAATCAGAAATTTATAAACAATATAATCAGCAAAAATAGTTAGAGTTCTCAAAAAAAAATAGCAAAAGCATTTACAAAACAAAATTTAAATCTCCTAAAAACATTATTATATAATTTTATAATTTTAAAAAGTTTAAAAACGAAATCAAAAAATTTTAAATATGAATTAAGATCAATAAATAAAGTTTGGAAATAATAGAAACTTTATAATATTAAAAAATGATAATCATAATTCGCTCTCTTAAAAATTGAGATTTAATTTTATAATAAAAACCTAAATTGAGACTTCCCACTCTTTCAAAAAAATCATCTAAATAAATAAAAAAAATAAAATATAAACTTATTGCTAATTAAGTATAATATTAAATATTTCTCCAAATATTAATTATAATATTATTAAACGAAGTCGAATTAAAAAGTTTAAATACTTTCAATTAGGGCCAAACGATTGTAAAAATGTAAAATAAAATAAAATTTCACCCAAATCTTCGTAATTTTCCATCTCAGTACGTTTGAGGATTTCAAGAATTTTTTTCTTTTCATCTTCCCTAGTAGTATTCATGTTAATATTCTAAAAAAGAAATTTAAACTTTAAAATGATAATAACAGGCAAATAATATAAAAAGGTGTACCTGAAATACTTCATTTTGATAAAAAGTTTCAGAACAATTCAAATGAGACTATAATAACAGTAAAGTGTTTAATAATATAAAATTAACTTATAATTTAATATATATAACTACAGAAATTATTAAAAGCATATTTTATAAAAAAACTTTTATAGAAATATAAGGTTATAAATATCTATGTTAAAAAACGGTTAAAAATTTTCTGTAAAGGAAAGAAGAGAAGAAATTATATAGAAAAAATTACTTCACTACGATAACAGTTCAAGGAACAGTAAAGAATGTTACATTTAGGACAATTGTATTTGGATGGATTCCGAAGGCAGCTTTTTATTATTAAAAAAAAAAGTTTTCTAAGAATTCACATATTATAGGAAAGACTAAAAAAAGAGAGTAAATATATTTTAGTTTTGTTACTTTTAAATTTAAAAATATGTAAACAAAATTATACAGTTCGCATGCTTTCTTCGCCTGGGAAAAAACCTCTTCGTCGTCAACTCT